AGTTCGTGGTCGTGCTCGTGGTGGGTGGCTTCGCGTACGGCAGCGTCGTTGGCGGCTACTGCTTCAAGAGCTCGCTGACGGCCCCCGTGGTGCAGCCTGCACCCGCTCCAGCATCGCTCAGGAGGCCGCGGGCGCTCTCGACCTCGCGAGTGCGGCGACCACCCAGGCGAGGAATTTCCGCCTTTAGGTGGAATGGCTGCTCGCGCCGCTGGACAGGTCCACTACTTTCGGTACAACGTCGGGGCGCCCGCTATCCTCCACGAGAGACTCAGTCTGCTGCCCGGGTACATCCTTACCCCTGACGATGAGGTATATGCTGAGAGCGACTCGGCAGGTGGTGACTCGAGAGCTGTGCATGACTCGGCGGGCCATGGCGACGCGATCGTCGGCGTCGCCGCCAACGAGCTCTACAAGTTCAGGCGGCTGCCGTCTGCAGCCGTCGCCTGGGCTGCTGCGCGTAGCGGCGTCGCCCAGGGCCATGGGCCTCTGGCGCCGTCGCCCTTCATCCTCGAGCTCAGCGCCGACAACGTGCTGGGCGTGGCGAAGGGGGTCCTGGCCGTGTTCGACCCGCTCGGAGCGGCCCCCGCCGCCGCAGCGCCTGGCGCCCTGGCCTTGGCTGGCGCGGCCGCGCCCCCCGCGGGCGCCCCTGGGCCGCCTGCCGCGTCTGCCGCTACGCCTGTGGGCGGGCTGGGCGCGCTGACCGCGGCGCTCGATGCGGGGGGGGCCGCCCTGCCTGCCGCCGCTGGCCCTCCGGGCGTCGGCGCCGCCGCCGCGGCCCCCGCGGCCCCAGGCGCCGCAGGGTCTGATCCCCGCGTGCTGGCCACCGTCCTCGACGCGCGGGGGGCGCGGGACATGCCTGTCAGGGGCGCTGTCAAGCGCCAGACCGAGGCCCCCCGCGCCGACTGGCCCGTGAAGGGCCTAACGACCACGACGCGGGTGCTCCACTTCATGTTCCGCATGGCGGGCGGGGCGACGGCGTGGCTCAACCGCTGGATGGCCATTAAGCAGGCCTCAGAGACGGACGACGCCGACAGGTTGTACGAGACGCTGAGCCGTGCCGTCGAGACCTCGCTCTGCCACGACCAGCTGATCATCTGCGAGCTGTCTTCCTACGAGTTCCTATCGCGGCAGCTGCTGATGGTGGAGGAGCGCTTCTTTGAGGGGCGCGCGCAGGACTCACCCTGTGCCCAAGGCCAAGGGCCAGGCCAAGGACGGCGCCGCGGCCGCGGCCGCCGACGTTTCCTCCGAGCTTGGCCACTTCTTCGGCACTGGAGAGACGATGGGCAACTTGTGCATTTTCCCACCCGTAATGGATTGGATCGCTGAGCAGATGAAGAGTGAGGCTGCCGTTGCGAAGGAACGCCGCAAGGCTCGCGAGGAGCGGGCCTTGCAGCAGCCATGACGTTCCCGAAGGGCGCTGGTCAGGAGGGGCCTCGCGACGCGCCGCCTGCTCGTGAGCCTGGCCAGCTTGGCCCCGAGCCCGTCGAGGCCCCACCTGGCTTGGAGTTGCCCACGCGAGGTGACCATCGCCAGCGTGACGTTTTTCCGCTTCCTGTTCTTCCAGTGGATGGGCGTCGCCATCTTCCGCTTGGTCGCGGGGCTCGTCTGCGCGCCGCCAAAGGCGCGGGCTGGAGAGAGTGGCGCAACGAGGGATTGTCTGCTCTCAACTGGCTCCACTGCGGCAAGGACGAGCCTTCCATGCCTGACGAAGGGGGGCCACCGCCCGCGGCCCAGGCAGCTTCCGTGGACTACATCGCGGGCTTGTACCGCGACTTCGAGCTGCCCGCCGCCTACTCGGAGAGAGGCCGCGATTGCGAAGCATCCCTCGTAGAGATGCTCGCACAGGCACCTGGCTACGCTGGTGACAGCGGTCGAGTGCGCCCCTACAGCATGCCGCTTGCGGCCTGGCCCGAGTCGACGAAGGCAGTCTCCACCTGCGGCGTCGTCTCCGAGGCCGACTCCATCGTGCTGCAGGATTGGGGGCAGAGTATGTTGAATCCCGAGTCGGTGGCGGCGGAGCTGCGCGATTCGCTGGGGGTTATCCGCCCTTATGTCGATCCTGAGCTGCGCTTTAAGCCGAAGTCCTACGCTGAGTTTTTGAAGCAGCTGGAGGCCCATGGCATGATCACCTGGCGGGTCTCCAGCGAACAGGCATCTTTCTCTACTGGTCTCTTCTTCGTGCAGAAATCAAACGGCAAGCTGGGGTTGGTGTTCGACACCAGGCTGGCCAACTGCAGTTTCTCGTGCCCACCAGCCACTCGTCTGCCCACGCCCAGCGCGCGGGCCAGTCTTGACTGCGACGACAGTTGTTATTTCGCGCAGGGCGACATTCAGTGTGCTTTCTATCATTTACGACTGCCAGCTGGCATGGAGTCGCTGCTCTCTCTGCCCCCGGTAAACAAGAGATTCGTCGGCCTCAAGTCGGTCAACGGGGTTCGTCTTGGCATCAACGACTGCGTCCAGCCTCTTGTCACGGTCGTTCCCATGGGGTGGAGTTGGGCCCTTCACCTGTGCCAGAGTGCGCTGACGAGAGCCCTGTCGGATGTCGGGTTCGGCCGCGACGATATGATTCTGGATGGGGGCTGCCCTCGGCCCTTGGTCGCTGAGAAGGACGCGGTCTGTGCAGGATACGTTGACAACTTCTGTGTCGTATCCAAGTGTGCCGAGACAGCCACGTCCCTGGCGCGTGCCGTTGCTGACCTTCTCACGGCCCGCGGGCTGCATGTCTTGGACTTCTCCCCTGCGGTCAGTAAGGGGGTATTCACGGGCTTGGAGATCGACGGAGCCTCTGGGATGATTTGTGTTCGTCCTGACCGCCTCGCTCGCACTCGTCAAGCCGTTCTCGGGCTTTTGAAGCGTGGGCGGGCCTCTGCTGGGGCCCTCAGCGTGCTCGTAGGCCACTGTACTTGGGGGATGATCCTGAGGCGCGACGTTCTGAGCATCTTTAACGCGGTCTATCGGTTCATGGGGGCTGTGGGACCTCATTCTGGACCCCTGTGGCCCTCGGTCGTCAGGGAGTTGTCGGCTGCCGTGGCCCTCATCCCGCTCTGGAGTGCCTCTACAAGGTCTCGCTGGTATTCGCGGGTCTATGCTTCTGATGCGTCGCCGTACGGGAAGGGTGTCTGTGCCAAGGAGGTCTCCCCCACGCTGTCGTCCGAGGTCGGCCGAGTCGCCGAACGCTGGAGATATCGTCATGGGGATGCCGTGCTTGCCAGATCACATGCCCTTGGCGTCGACGGTCGAGACGATGCTGCCGACGGTTGCCGTGCCGACACATCGTCTACTGCCTCTACTGCTTCGTCGTCTGGGCCCAGTGGGTTCCTCGAGGTCCCTGAGTCCATCTGCGGGGCCGAGGGTTGGAAGACCATGCGCTCTAGCCGTCATGCCCGCCGTGGCTGCGATATCCTTCAGTGCGAGGCGGAGGCCCTGGGGTTCAGCGCCCATCATGCCTCGAGGGCCCTGGGTGCTCATCATCATCGCGTCGTCTGCATCGTGGACAATTTGGCTCTAGCTCTGTCGCTCGGCAAGGGGCGGCCTGGGAGCCGACATCTTCTCCGCGCCCTGCGGCGGATCGCTGGCGTGGCCCTCGCCTGCGGCCTGCGCCTGCTCGTGCGGTGGGCGCCGTCAGAGAGGAATGTCGCGGACAAGCCGTCGAGGGAAGGTTTCTTCGTCGGTCCTAGCTTCGAGGACGTCGGGTCGTTCCTCGTCGCGCGCCGCCCGCGGATCCCCCAAGGATGTGATCAGGGCTGCGAGGGCCAGGCGGGAACATCCTGGTCCGCTGGCGCTCCTGCGGGGCGGACTGTCGGCGCTGGAGGCCAACGCGGTCTCGGAGTCGACGGGCAAGAACTACCGCGCCTCCGCCCTCAGGTTTCTGAACTGGTGCCTCTGGACCGCCAGGGACTTCAAGAACAGCGTCGAGCTCGACACGATCCTCGTGGTGTTCTTCGTCCACCTCTTCCTCGACGGGTACGACAGTGCGACGGGCCGCGTCACGATGGCCTCTCTGAAGCACCATCTGCCGTCGATGCTGATGGGCAGCCGCCCGCTGCCACGGGCCTTTCGGGCCCTTCAGGGTTGGACGAAGCTCGCGCCGCCGCAGATGAGGCTGCCGCTGCCGAGGGTCGCGATGTTCGCCATCGTGGGCGTGCTGCTGTCTCAGGGGCTTTTGTCGCAGGCGGTCTTCGTGAGGATCGCGTTCGACACGTACCTCCGCCCCAGCGAGGCCTACCGTCTCACGGCGGCCTCCCTGATCGCGCCGAGGTCGGGCGCCACGGAGGGCTACCAGCACTGGGCACTGTTGGTGAACGACGCGGCGAGCGGGAGGCCTGGCAAGACGGGGGCCACCGACGAGAGCGTCATCGTCGACGATCCGCTCCTCTGGCCTCTCCTCGAGGCGCTTCGGCAAGGACGCCGCGCGGAGGAGAGCCTCTGGGCCTTCACGCCGCAGCAGCTGCGGCGCGCTTTCGCGGGGGCCCTGGTCCAGCTCGGGATCTCCGACCAGCAGACCTCCCTCTACTCGCTGCGCCACGGGGGGGCCTCCGACGACCTCCTCTCGGGTCGCCGCACGAGGAAGGAGGTCAAGGACCGCGGCAGGTGGAGGACGGACCAGTCTCTGAACAGGTGCGCCAAGCGGGCGCGCATGCAGCAGCGGCTGGGTCAGCTCGACCCCGCGCTGGTCGACTTCGGGCAGAAGGTCGAGAGCGATTTGCTGGGCCTGATGGACGTGATGGCGAGGACGGGCATCTTCTCGCTGCCGCTGCCGCCCCTCAGGCTGGCGTCGGCGTCGGCGCCGGTGCAGGCGCCTCCCGCGATGGCCGACAAGTGGCTCTTCGTGTGAGGCGCCTGTGGCTACGTGCGCGTGCGCATGCCACAGTGATGCCGTACCTCATCATGCTCTGCACCTGTGTCCCCGACCGAGTTCGGCGAGTGTGCGAGGCCCGCGGGCTCGGCACCGTTGCGGTGAACGTTGCTCGACATCGCCTCGACGACCTCGCTGACCCTCAGGTTCTGAAGTCTCTGACTGGCTGGGTGCGCGCCTCGGCTGTGCTCGGAGTCTGGGCGTCCTTGCCCTGGGACACCTGGGCGCCAGGGGCGTCGCGTGTCCGCAAGTTTGATTCTCTGCTGCACGTGAATAGAGCCTCAGAGGCCGCCTGTCGCGCCGTGCGAGTGGCAAACGCGCTGGCTGAATCCACCTTCAAATTGATTGCGGAGTGTATCTTCCGCAGAGTCCCGATCATTTTTATGCACCCTGTGTCGAGCCTCATTTGGAGGCATCCCCGCCTGTCCCCTCTCCTTGCCTCTTCCTCCTCCTCTTGCTCCCTCGACGCGTGCATGTATGCGGGGCGCGTGAGACAGCGAATCCACCTCGTCGGATGGAGCGTGCGGGATCTTGATTGCCTCGCTCGTCGTTGCCTCTGCGCCCATGGCCTCTGCGATCGCACTCTGAGACGTCACCTGGGAGGCCTGGGACGTCCAGCACTGGGCGCCGTAGCTCGTGCCTCTGCTAAGGGTCTCCCCTCGGAAGTGGCCATTGCTGGCGCTGAAATGATAGTGGCCGAAGCTCGTCATCTGTCCCGCGCCGCGAGATATAAGAAAATGTTTGGTCAATGAGTAATTCGGCTGTGGCCACCTGGGTAGACTAGCGTGTGGTACCGTGTCTGTGCTTCACTGCTGGCGTATCCCTCGAGGCCGCCCTCCGCCGTTTGCACAAAGAAGAAACAAGATGGCCCCGAATCGTCCACATACAGCGACTTGTCGGCATGTGTGGCAACACCGCGGCCGTATTCCCTTGCTCAAGTTCTACCCTGGCCCCCCCCACCCACTTGAGCTTTTAATGTTTCACCGTGTCTGTGCTTCACTGCTGGCGTATCCCTCGAGGCCGCCCTCCGCCGTTTGCACAAAGAAGAGAGAAGATGGCCCCGAATCGTCCACATCATCATCATCAACAACATCATCATCAACATCATCATCATCATCATCGTCATCACCATCAGCATCAATCCGTCGTCATCATCGTCATCGTCGCAGTCACCATCGTCGTCATCATCATCTCCGTCATCGTCACAATCATCGCCATCAGCTTCGGCACACCCCTTACACGCTTCGTGGCCCCATAGGGAGCTCCACCGAAGGTCCCCGTGGCGCAGTTCGCATGCGTCCCCCCCACCCAGTACCGCGTTTCGTGGCCCCATAGGGAACTCCACCGAAGGTCCCAGTGGCGCAGTTCGCATGCGTCTCCCCCGCCCAGGACAGCGCTTCGTGGCCCCATAGGGCGCCCCACCGAAGGTCCCAGTGACGCAGTTCGTATGCGTCTCGTTCCGTGGCCCCATAGGGAGCTCCACCTAAGGTCCCAGTGGCACAGTTCGCATGCGTCTCCCCCATCCAGGACAGCGCTTCGTGGCCCCATAGGGAACGCCACCGAAGTCCCAGTAGCGCAGTTCGCATGCGTCTCCCCCGCCCAGGACAGCGTTTCGTGGCCCCATAAGGTTCGCCACCGAAGGCCCAGGGGCGCAGTTCGCATGCGTCTCCCCCGCCCAGGACAGCGTTTCGTGGCCCCACAGGGAGCTCCACCGAAGGCCCCAGTGGCGCAGTTCGCATGTGTCTCCCCCGCCCAGAACAACGCTTCGTGGCCCCATGGGGAGCCCCACCGAAGGCCCCATTGGCGCAGTTCGCATGCGTCTCCCCCGCCCAGGACAGCGTTCCGTGGCCCCATAGGGAGCTCCACCTAAGGTCCCAGTGGCACAGTTCGCATGCGGCTCCCCCGTCCAGGACAGCGCTTCGTGGCCCCATAGGGAGCCGTCACCCCCATTTCGGCACTCCCTGGCGCGTTTCGTGGGCTTCACCGAAGGCCTCAGTGGCGGCGTTTCGAAGGTGGGGTTAGTTCCATGCGTTCGTTTTTGAAGGCTGCGATGTGTAACCCAGCAGCTGCGCCTCGCCGACAGCGTTCCAGGGGCGATCGCCGCAACCAGCCCGGGTGCCCGAGCTACTGGCGTTATTGCCCGAGAGTTGTCGAGGGCGTTCCAGGCCCACTGGTGGCCTCGGGGGGCTTCGGGGATGCGTCTGGAGACTTGCGGACACCTGCGTCGGAGGCCGTCGGAGTTTTGAGGAGGACGAACGGAGTGGGCTGCGGAGGAACGGAGGAGGAGGAGGTCGGAGGAGGAGGAGGAGGAGGAGGAGGAGGAGGAGGAGAGGGAGTGGGAGGAAGATGAGGAGGAAGAGAAGGTAGCCCCCTTCGACTGGTACGAAGACGATGATTACGATGATGATGTTGATGATGATGACGATGATGATGGTGATGATGATGACGAAGATGATGATGCTGAAGATGATGCTGAAGATGATGCTGAAGATGATGATGATGATGATGATGATGATGATGATGATGATGATGACAATGACGATGATGATGATAAATGATGATGATGATGATGATGATGATGATGATGATGATGATGATGATGATGATGATGATGATGATTCGGATGATGATGATGATGATGATGATGATGATGATGATGCGGATGATCATGATGGTGATGCGGCTGATGATGATGCAGATGATGATGCTGGTGATGTTGCTGTTGATGACGATGGTCACGATGATGATGATGATGATGATGATGATGATGATGATGATGATGATGATGATGATGATGATGATGATGATGATGATGATTCGGATGATGATGATGATGATGATGATGATGATGATGATGATGATGATGGTGATGCTGATGATGTTGATGATGATGATGATGATGATGATGATGATGATGATGATGATGAGGGGCGGACTAGAAGTAAAGGCGTATGGTAAGACATCTGTTTTACGATGAGCTGAAGAACGCGGCTGGAATTCAAAACGGGAAGAACAAGGGAACGGAAACTTTGCCAGCTTTCATACCCCCGAGCAACACGGCAGCGGTGAGGGAGACGATTACAAGAGCAACATCCAGTACAATACAAGAACGTTCTGTCTGTGACCGAAGCGCTGCGTCACATGACATCGCCTTTTCTGCCTTTAAAGCAGAGCCCACAAGACAACGACCTACCGTTGGAGTCTGGTGTTCGAAAGAATGCGTTCGGTGCGAATGCGAAAACCGCACCCACAGCAACGAAGCAAACATAAGCTCAGATGAAAGGGCGCTGTACGAACCGCGCCCCTCATAAACAGTTGCGCGAACGAGGGGATCTGATCACAGAGGGCCTTCTATTGACCAGGTCCTGACTGACAAATTGCCCAGCAGCAGGATTATCGATGGAGCACGCAATTGTTCACTCGCACGCTCTGCTGTCCGAAACATGCTACCCCGCGAACGCAGCTCGTGGAAGCAACCCGCTCGCTGGCATGCTTCTCTCTTCGCATTTCTCTCTTGCTTTATGTATTTATTTGTGTTGTTCCTCTCTCTCTCTCGGTGTGTATATATATATATATGTGTGTATGCGTATATGTGTAGATATCGCTCTCTCTCTCTCTCTCTCTCGCTCACTCTCTCCCTCTCTCTTCCGCATGGACTGCGCGGTCGTGGCATTCGCGAACAGCGTCCCGACATGCGACGCCGATGGGGTTATCCAGTAGCGTCGTCGTCATCCTTGTTGAGGTTGCTGCGGCGGGAGCTCGGCGCCGTCTTCTCGCGCCGCCCTTCGCCCAACCTCACCGCGGGGCTTTCGCAGGCGAGCTTCTCCTCCATAGTGTCGAGGGCGAGCTCCTGGCCGACACTTCCCGGCGTCATAGGGTCGGCCCTCGTGTCGCGGGCGTCGCGCCACAGCGTGTCGGGTGCCAGTCTGGCGCGCAGCTGGTCTGCTGGCCGCCGCGAGCGGCCTGCCGCGCTCTTCTCTTATGGCGGCCGCGCGTGGTCCACGGCCAGGGCTGTTATGACGGGCGCGCCGTCCTCGACTGGGTCGGCGAGTGCAGAATTACCCCCCTCCTCCCCCAGCCCCCTGATTGCATCTGCCGAAGCGGGCCCGCGCCTGCAGGCCGCCCGCTGCCCCGCGTGCCGCGAGCAGCTCAGGGCCGAAGGAAGATCGACGCACAGGCCAGTGCGTTCGGCTCACGGCGTCGAGCAAGTGACAGATGTGTTTACCAGCGCTGCGAAATTTGCCTGGGCGCATGTATGCGCCTCCACGCATGCTGCGCCCCGTCTCCTCCCCGCGCGTGAACGAGCCGTCGCTGAGCGCGCCGATCTGGTCCACGCTCGCCATCGCCGGGAAGGCCGCGCACGGATTGATCTTCTGCGCGGCCAGAACGACGGAGTTGAGCTGCATCGCGCGTCTGACGAGCAGCTTGTTCAAGGCCCACTGCAGCGCGACGGCGCGGACGGCGACGCGGCGTTGCGCGAGCAGCGCGTGGGCAGCTGCTCCGAGGAGGGAGACGAAGCGATCCGGGAGTGGACCTGCGGCCGTCTCGTCGGCCTCCGACTGGGCCAGGTCGACGTGCCTGATGGGGATCAGCGGGTCGATGCGCTCGCCCTGGTCGAGTGTCACAATAACATCAGCACTGCGGGGCTGGCGGGCCCCGCAAATGGCGCAGCCGTCGCAGTCCGTCTTTCATCTTGCCGACGACGCTCCCGATGTGGCTGACGAGTCGGTCGACGTGCTCCACGCGCCCTGCTTGAGATCGTCGACGTGCTTGGGCAGCGCGGGCGCAAACTCTGAGCCGCCGGCGCCGCGGGCGCCGGGCGCCTCATGTTTGACCTGGAGCTCACGGCCCCATCGCGTCGGCTCTGCGTTGCGCTCGGGCGAGCGCGCGGGCAGTCGGTTCGCTCGTCGACGCACTCGCGGCCTGGAACCTGCCGGGGGCATAGCGGCACTGCCGGGCGGCAGGGCGAAGTCCACCCGCGCGGCGATTCGCCGTGTCCCTGCGTCGCGGCAGAGTTCGCGCCCCGCAGGAGAGCCTTCTCGACGCCCACGGCGACGCAACCCAGTCCGGGCGAAAAACCGCCTCCGTCGACAAGATGCGCTGGGGCGCTAGTTTCGCCACGACGGCGCACGTCTCCGGGGCCCTGGCGCCTGCGTCGCGGAAGCCTCTCAGCGGCGCGCGGCGCGGGGTGGCCCCGGCCGCTGTGCTCGCAGGCCCCATGCGGCGCATCAGCTTGGACGCGCGCCTGGGGCCTGCGACGTTCCGGGCGCCTCTGACAGGGCGTCGCACGAAACGCTCGCCTTTTACCCAGATTGTGAGCTCCTCGAGGATGGCGGCGGCCACCTCCTTGGACAGCCTCGACGCCGCTTCCGTGGATCGGAGATCGGCGTCGCGCTTGTTCGCCGCGGATTTGACGGCGGCATCATGTGATTGAAGCGCGGTTGTGGTGGACTCGCCGGCAACATAATTGTCCCCGCGGCAGCTCAGTCATGCCTCTCGCACTCCGGGGCCCAGGTGCAACTCCGCTTGTTCTCCCCCTTCGACCTCCCCCTCTAGCTCGGCGCAATCGACTCAGGAGGCGCCGCGCAAGTAGTGGTGGCATTGCGCGTGGATGTGCTGGCGCCGGTGACGCGTCTCCAGCAGCGTCGACCACCTGCTGGCTGTCGGCGCTCTCCAGCCCCCGTAGCTCGCGGGCCAGATCCTCCGCGCCCTCGACTTCCTGCCGCGCTGCCATCATCACCTGCTGGGTGTGGCCAGAGAAGTGGCAGCCGGCTTCTTCGGGCATCGCCGAGAGGGCCGACGGTGAACCGCCCTCGGCGGCGCTGGCGGCGTCCTCGGGAACGTCGAGGACGCGGACATCGGCCGCCCCGTCGCGGTCGCGCCCGGCGTCGTCTGCCAACTGCTGTTCGCCACCCAGGACCGACTGGATGATGCGCTGCTCGCCGACGAAGCCGTGGGCGTCGAAGTTGACGCCGTCCAGGTGCAGCTGGTGGACGTCGCTCGGGTTTCGAAGGAGCCGCCAGATGGCCCGAATGCGGGCGCAGCCTGGCTGGTCGCCCGCAAATCTCTGCCCGCGTGGCCGGACGTCAGGCAGCTGAAAGCATCTGCGGGAAAGACGGCGCAACGCGTCGAGGACATCAAGTCGTTGCCGAGTCTGCTCAGTCAGCAGCTTGCCCTGCTCGCCCTCCCCGGGGCCGAAAATCCTGGCTCTTGCGCCTGGCGCGATGTGCTCTACGAAATACTCCGCGCGATCCCAGGCCAGGCCTGCTCGCGCCATGCCGGTGCCCGCGTCGTCGAAGACGGCGCCAACAAGGGTCCGTGCGCCCTGCAGTCTGCAGGCCGTCTCGGCGCTGCGGTACTTGCCCGCAACCTCGCCTCTGGCCGGGTCCAGAGAAACGACAATATCAAGACCTGGCCCGCCTGGCGCGTCCCTTGTGCTATGAGGCCAGTGAACCTCCACCTGGTCACCCGCGTTGAAGCGTCCCTCCCCAGTCTCTGTGGCGCGCGTCCGCAGGGCGCGGATGGCGCGGGCGATCGGCGCGGCCTCGATCGTGCGCTGCAGGGCGGTATCACGAATGCGCCGCTGCACTTGGCTGGGTTACACCTCGCAGCCAGCAGCGGGGCTGGCTCGGGCGAAGTGGTCGCCCTCGCCCTCCTCGTCTGCTTCGAGCGGCGGCAGCGTGGAGGGCTGCGTGCCAAAGACGACATTGCACGGCGTGGCGCCGCCCACGTGCGCGGGCGAGACTGTTGCCGGCGAAGATGGCATGGACCAGCATGGAGTCGAAGTTGGCGGCAATGCTTTCGCGTTCCAGCTGCTCCTCGGCGTCGCGCAGCGCGTGTCGTAGCATTGCGCTGCGTCGCCCTATGAAACGAGCGTGTTGGCGCGGAGCGCGCCGTCCACGATGAAGGTTTCCATTGATCCGAGTAGCTGGGTCCAGATCCTGACTGCTGCCAGCAGCGTTGAGTCGCATCTGTCCGTCATCTCCTGGCCGTTGCGCCACCGTGAGGCGCAGCAGAAAAAGTGCAGTACTTATCATGCGATCCTTGTAGTAAAGGATGTCGCATTCAACGTGAAGGTTCAAACGCGTCAGAAGGCGTAGCGTGGGAGTGGTCTGGTGCGCTGGTGGAAGCCGCTTACGACATTTCCAACAGTTTTTGGCTACAGTGGGGATGCGGTCGAGGATGGACTGCGGCATGTTGGCTGAACGCAGTGTTCGAGCCATCTCCTCCTTAGTGGCGTGCCCCCATCGGAGATGTAACTTGCGTAGCTCTCGCATGCGTGTCTCGTGCGAGTCGCCACGCAGCTGTCAAACCGAATCCAGTCTGCAAGCGCTGGGTTGCCTACAGCGGCGTCGGCCGCTCGTGGCGCTGCCCGTCTCGGCGCTGTGCCGGCTGCTGGACTGGCCCGTAGTCGTGTAGTCGTGGGCCAGCAACACAACTGCCCGATCCACTACCGCTACCCTGAGCCGCAGCGCTGGAGGATGACTGGCTCCTGGCGAACTGACTGGTGCTGGTGGTAGTGCTGCCTTGCCTGCTGCTCCGAGGTCGGCTCCTCCAGGTAGTTGGGCCTGTTGGTCGCTGGTTGGGCGTGGTCCTAGAGGTCGTGCTGGTGTTCGTGGATGTTGGACGGTACGTGGACGTGGCTGTACATGGGGATCCGCGAGCTTGCACTTGCTGAACTCGTGGGCGTGTGATGGGCGGTCGCGTTCCTTCTCCTTGCGGCAGCCTGGGCGTTCCCCGTGTATGGGGGCACTGTGAGGATAGCGGCGAGTGGCCGGATCTCGGGAGCGCATAAGCGAAAATGATCGCATGTTGCGTCGGCGCGCCATGCATGTGCAGCGTGCGCGCTCGGCTGTTATGGCGCTCCTGATTTCGCCCTCTGTGGCCCCTGCCCCTGAGGCCACTGCTGGAAAGGCTGCCGTCTCGACACCGCATTCGCGAACATAGTTCGCCATTTGCGGGCGTCTCAGGCGTCGGCGTAGGTCCACGGCTGGAGTCCACGATGCCGTGGACAAGCCGTTCGGACATCTTCCATGGCCAGACTTGGGCGTCGAAGCTGTCGTTGGTGCACTTGAGGTTTACGAACTGCTCTAGGATCTCCAGGGCGTTGGAGACGAGGCCTGTGATCTTTCGTAGAGTACCCCCGTGACGATCTCGTACGTGAAGGTGCCCTCACACCAGCAGAGCTTGTACTCCAGCGCACCGCTTCGCGGTCGGTCGTATTCAGCCCTCGAGAGAGGCAAGGAAGAGGAGGAGGAGGAAGAGGAGGAGGAAGAGGAGGAGGGGGAGGACTGCGAGGGCCTCCTCCGCTCCAACACATCCCCCGCTCGTCCTCCCGGATCTGCCCCCAAGAGGAGGCCAGACTGGCGGCGAAAAACAAGGGGCGCCTCGTCGTCCCCGGCGCCCTCCCCGGTGAGGTTGTCGCCGCTGGCGGGGATTTTTTCTTGTCTGGCCAGGGAGCGACGCCTCCGACGCCCCCCCGGGTCGGAGACGTGTCTCCGACGCCTCAACCGCCTCCGACGCCTTCGGAGTCGGGGGCGCGCCGGGGAAAGCTGGGCGCACGCAGAGCGTGTTCGGGCGTGTTCGGGCAGCTTGAGCGCGCTGCTCTATTCTCTATCGCTCGTTGCCTCCCTCCTCCCAGGGGTGGTGGGGCTCTTGGGAGCCTTTCCTCCCATCCCTGGTCGTCCAGCGGCGGCTGGGGCTGGGCCGGGCAAGGGCTCTCGGCGCAGCTGTTTCCCATCAAAGAGGGGCCGTGCCCGCGGACCCGCTTGTGATTTGGAAGGGCCCGATCAACCAGGGCCCAATCACCGCCGAGAGAAGCGGGGGGAACCAAAACTAAAGACCTCTAGCGGTTACAGGGGCAGCTTACGAGCGGGTGCCCGCGCGGTCGAGCGCCTTCTGATGCGTCGTTGACCTAGCCCGTACGTGAGAGCTTCGACACTCTTGCATCGAACCGGAAGAACAATACGAGGCCAAGTCAAGCTAGATCTGCCACAGGATGCCCTGTGAACCCTGGGATGCCCTTGGACCCCTCGGAGTCCTCGGAGGCTCCGAGCTCTCGTCTTCCTCCTCCCTTCCCCTCGCCTCCTTCTCCATTCTCGTCCCGTCCCGCCTCGTTATCCTTCCCTCCTTTGCGTATGGGGGGAGGCTCACCAAGCAGCCAGCGGCATCGTGACTCTCGATCTGGCGTGGCACCGCTCGACTACACGAGCGGCACAGCGACGTGTGCAGCGCAGGCCGGGAACGTGATAGCACAGGAGGCCGTGCTGCCTTGCGAAGACTGCATCGAACGGACACACGTGCGGAAAGTGGCCCTGGGCAGATGTGAGACGACGGGGGAAGAGGAGGAGGAGGAGGAGGAGGAGGAGGAGGAGGAGGAAGAGGGAGGGAGAGAGGAGGATGAGGAGGATGATGATGAGGAGGAGGAGGAGAAGCGGGAAGAGGGAGAAGGACCCAAATCTCTGACGATCTGGCTTTTCCAACCGTTTTTTGTCCCTCGACTGCGGTGTTCTCGGGGGCCCGGTTTGGGGGCCCCGGGGCCATCGCAGGTGGGCCTGGGCCGGAAAGCAGGCCCCGGGAAGGGGTCGGGACTTCTCAGGGCCGCGCATTGCACACGTCACATCATCGGACGTGTGTTGAGGTCGAAGTCGTGGGCGGGGTCCCGCCTGTGCTCTACGCCGAACTCGGCAAGGTTGCCGAAGAAGACGGCGCCTATCTCCTTGCCGCCCTGCAGCAGAAGCTTCACAAGGGAGAGAAACGGGGGAAGGGGAAGGCAAGGGAGGGAGGCAGGAGAGGAAGGGGAAGAGGAAGGGGAACGAGATGTGGAAGGGGGTGTGGCGGTGGAAGGAAAGGGGGGGATCGGGAAGGTGTGTGTGTGTGTGCGTGTGCGTGTGTGGAAGATGGATGTTCCGGTCGGGGGAGGGGAGGGGGAGAAGGGAGGCGTGGTGGAGGACAGGGAGTGAAGTGAAGAGAAGGAGTCTGGGGAACGGATCGGGAAGAAAAGGGGGAGAGAAAACTGAAGGAGAAGGAAAAGGGAGGGAAGGGAGGGGCGGGTGGAATAGGGGAGGGAAAGGGAGGGGGTGTTGGAATCTTGGAATGGGGGGATGGGAGAGGGAGGAAAGGGGATGAGAAGGGAGGCAGACGGAAGGGAAGGGGGGGAGAACATGAGGGGATGAGAGGAGAGAGACGAGAGGAAAGGGGAGGCGGAGGTCAGAGGAATAGGGCATGGGACCTGTCGTGAAGTACCACACTCGGTTTCCGAGAAGAAGCAACCGCCGTCGACGAAGCATCCATCGAGGTAGCGGCTTATCTGGCACCGAGAAGCTGATGGCAAGAAATGGCATATTGGGTTTCTTACGCTTCCTGTGATAATAGAGCAGTAGGACGGGGATGCGCGATGAGGCCAGCATCTACGGCTCAGGCGTAGATTGGGCTAGTGCATCGGCGAAGGGCCAGCGATGCGACAGCCATCTCTGGCGATCTACCAGACAAGCCCATGCATCGTCGGTCGAGAATAGGGGCGACACGTCGGCGATCGAAAGGCAATATTACTCACTCCGCCTAGTCTCAGAACGCTCCATACGTCGCCTCTTGCGCCTCCTCCTCCTCACCACCATGATCGTCCCCACTTCTCCCTCCACCCGCCCTCCCTCGTCTTCCCCTCCCTTCTTCTCCTCCCCCAGAAGAAACAAGCCACATGAGCATAAATGATCGATGGTCAGCACGGATTTCTTGGATCTGCTCTGGGCCATCCTTCCTGGCGCGCGGAGGTCGCCAGAGGAGCCGCGCCAAAAGGGCGGCGTCGGGGGGGGGGCCGGCGCCGAATGCGCGCAGACCCTCGACGGCTTGTGCTTGAGCCGTCTTCTCCTCTCGGCGGCGAGCGAGGGGGGGAAGTGAGACGGAGAAGGCCTTCTCAGAAGGCGGCGGAGCTTCTGGAAAGCCCTCCGGCCCGCTGAGAAGTCGTCTTCTGTGTCTTCGGGGAATGCTTAGAAAACTTCTCGAAAGGCCGGGGGGCTTCCGAGCCTTCTGAGAAGGCCCGCCCCTTCTCACTTCCCCCCGTCGCTCGCTGCCGATCCTCCGTCCCTCCCTGCGATGTCATGCTGCGCTCTGCAACTCTGTACCGCGCCGTGCTATGCCATGCTAGAACTGCTGTACATCACGCGCCCTTTCGGGATCACTGCCCTTTTCAACATCCGCCTGTGCGAATGGAGAGGGGCTCTGCGCAATGGTACGGGCTGGGAGGGAGGGGTAGGACGTCGGGTAGCACGCGAGCGCACCTTTTTTGACCCTCCCCGTATCTCCTCCCTGCTTCCTCTTGCGGCGCGCCATAGGGTACGGGGAGGGGGGAAGGCTTCTTAGAAGCACCCTGCTTCTCATAAGGCCCCGGCTTTACATCTATAGATAAGGCCAGCGCCTTCTGAGAAGCAGGGGTGCTTCTAAGAAGCCTTCCCCCCTGCCCCCACCCCGCTATTGCGCGTGGCCGATTCCTGCTGCCCGCTCCGCCCAGGTCGCTTCCAGGTCGCCGGCGGCCCCGCCCCCCGAACCCAGAGTGCCCCCAGCAGACGGGTGGAGGCGGCCACGGGCTCCCGAGCCACCTGGCAGCGGCGCTGGCGTGCCGCGTGCGTCGTGGTGGCGCTGCAGAGCCTGCACCGCGCATCGGGGACGCACTGGCCTGGGTCAGTCCAGGCCTGGGTCAGTCGGGCTCTGCAGGGTCCTGCACCATCCCCCAGGACCCTGCGCCCAAGACCGGGTCGGTGCAGCCCTGGCTCTGCAGGATCCTGCGAGATCCGGCGCTCTGACGCACCCCCGTTTGCATCGATCCCCGTCTCTTGAGGCCCGAGCGGATGCCGCCGCTGCGCCTCCCGCGCTGCCGAGCGCCCGCTCTGCCGCGATCTCTGTGCCGAGGACAGCCCTGGGCCGAGGCAGCGGCCGCGGGACGGGCGCGGCGGCCGCGGATTCGCGCCCTGCGGCCGGGCCTCTCGGGCGAGCGCCGTGGGGGTGCAGACTGCGGAGCTCGCCTACACGCGAGAGTGACCCTGGGTGAGAGTGACCTTTGGTGCGCGGCTCTTTGGGGGGCTGTGGGGGAACCAATCACACGACGGCAAGACGCTACTGCCGCATCGCGTTCGGCGATCGGCGGACCCCATTAGGCCCGCGCCAAAAGTCACTCCGGCGAAATGTCACTCTTACGCGTAGTCGAGGAGCGAGGGCGAAAGGAGCGAGAAGGGCCAGGTCCGTGAGGCTCTCGGAGCCCAGCCTCGAGGCGTGGCCGGCTGCAGATGGGAAGCGCTGCGGCCAGACCCAGGACATAACAGCATCCTTCAATAACGTGAGACCCTCCGCCGGCCAAACTGAAGAACATTCAAGGGTACCATCCCCCAGGATGCACAGGGACATCCAACAAACACGAAGAACCCTCCCAAAACCGACCGCGATCTTAGACCTCGGTCCGAACTCAGAGCAGCAGGGCTTCTGCTGAGAGGTACGAAGTTACCCTGATCGATCGCCGACGCCTGCGTCAGCTTGGCACTTTGACCTCCTGATCAGTCAAAGAGGTGACAGAACCCTCAAGCTCAGAATCCGAAAAGCGAGACAGGAACGGGTTCACTGCTGGCAGGGGTCTTGGGAAATTCGGTGAGCGCCTGGTGATCGGGTTCAGTAGCCCACGCCCCATGGCCATGGTCCGGCGTGCTAGGGTAGGGGCCTCCTCCCTCTCTCCCTTCCCCTCCAAATCCCCCCAGCCATCTGAGCGTAGGTGGTTTGGCAAGTTCGTTCCTCCAATCCCTTTCATACTGTTCGGGGAAGGGTTTGGCCCTCCACCTTCCCCACGCGGAAGACTTCCCCGTGCGCGGCTTGGGGGCTTCTTGGAGGGCTCTTTGAGGCCTCTTGGGTGCCCTTCGGAGGCCTCTGGGACCTCTGCGGTCCTCTTGGGGTCGCTTTGGCATCAAGCACGCCGGACTCTGTTGGCCTCTTCGAGGCTTGAGATGGCATACGGTGCCCTGCCTCTGGGGCCGTCTTGGGGCTCTCTTGAGGCCATCTTGAGGCATCGGGAGCCCTTCGGGCGCGCGAAACAGCGAGATGACACACTTTTGTCATGTACGGCTGCTGGAAAAATGTGGCCTCTTGGGGCCATCTTGAGACGACCTGGAGGTTGCCTTGGCGTAGTTATCTTGTCGGATCGTTTCTGGTCTCGGCTTGCCTCGTCTTGTCTTATCTGGTCGCCTTGGGGGCCTCTTGTGGAAGGGCACGACCGTCCCACGGCCGCTGGTCGACTGGAGGGGTTGGCCCGTCTCCTTAGGGAAGTCCCTCCCCTGGGGTCTGGACGCTCGGCCCACAAGGTTTAGGTCAGGCCTGTCCCCCTACAGGGAGATGTTGAACGAACGAATCAACATATACCATACATCATGGTCAAACAATTAAAAAAATAAAAAAAGGTCCCCACGCTATTTGTTGACCATTTTTCAATTTTCCTGCTGTAGAGGGACAGGCCCGGCTTAACACAAGGTGTCAGAGGGAACCTCTTGGCCCAAGATGGCTCAACGCAAACATGCTCCCAAGAGGCGCAAGCACCACCCTAAGACGGCTCCAAGTGGACACGGATCCTCCCAAGGACGCTCCCGAGAAGCTAAACTCATTCCAAGCAAGCACATCTAGAATGTTCCCAGGGATTTCTCCATCTCGGCGTTTCGTTGCCGGTGGCCCTCTGAGGCCTCAAGGCGGATTCAATATCGCCACAGAAGACCCACAAGAAAAGCTTCCATGCGGGGGCCCTAGGAAGGCACAACGATCGAATGTACTTGATGGATGTTGGCACCTCGGGGGCATCCCTGAACGGCTTGTGGACCAGTGTAGTTCCAAGATGGATCCAGATGCCCTGAAATGGCCCCCAAGCTGACACAATATTGTCCAAGTTGGGTCACATGGGTATCCAGCATGCCTCCAGAAGGTCCCAAGACGGCCCCAAGTGGCCTCGGAGCCTCCTGAGGACGCTCCCGAGAGGCTCAAATCAGTCAATCACGTCGCTTCCGATGGGTCTCTGAGGCCCAAAGATCGGTCCACGATCGCACAAGAGAGCTCCAAAGAGGGGCCAGAAGAGGTCCAAGACGGCCCCAAGAGTGCCCAAGATCGCCCCAAGACCGTTCCAAGATGGCTCCAACATGTGACTTTCTGGCACGGACGGGGCACGGCTAACTGCTCTCCCTTCTGTGATCGACTGCCTCCACGTCCGAAGGCCTCCAACATTGCACCAAGAGGACTAGCTCTGATAGACCTCCAAAAGGCTCCCAACGCGATAGATTCGTGCAGGCCTTTGTCGCTGGCTCTCGTCGTCGTCATCGTCGTCGTCGCCGCCCGTTCATCCCCCATCCCCGCGGCTTTATCCGCCCACCTCCCTCCTCATCCTCCTTGACAGCGTCAAGAATACGGCGGCCCTCTGCAGACCCTGTGCCGGGAGTGGACTTCATCGAATTGCTCAGGCCCCCAAGAGGCGTCCAGGAGGGCCCCAAGACGTCCCAATATGCGCTAGCATGCCAATTCATGCTCGTCGTCTTTGTCCTCCTCCTCCTCCTCCTCCTCCTCCTCCTCCTCCTCCTCCATGGTCACGAGACTTGCGGGCCAATTTCCCGAAGGGTGAACCGCCTTGGCACCTGCTCTGCGGGCTCCACTTGGAGGGCGGCGGCAGAGGCAGTCATGAAACACATCGGTATCATGTAGCAGCGGCAGGGTGATACATTCCAAGCCATCAGTGCGACCTGCATCCGCCCGACGGATCACTGCACCGGCCTTGCTGCAGCGGATTGCCGCATGGATTCTGTCAATACAAAACCCCGAAATGGCGGGCGAAAAACGAAGTGAATTTCACGTGGATGGTTTGTAGTCTTTCTTTATGGCAACGAAAATCCGCACGAAATCCACTTCGAGATCCGGGACGAACATCTGCAGGAGAATTCTGGCCCATCACATTGTTTTCCGAGCGACATCCGCTCTGCGGTACTGGCGCCATGAGACGGAGGAGGGGGGGCGTGCCAAAAAAGTGGCAGCGCACCCAGTGGGCGCCCGCCGTCCTGGCCCAGGGCCGCAAGCGGACGCGATCAAGACCCACGGAGCTGACGCAGGGGGTCGGGCAGCCAAGGGCGCAGGCGGGGCACCGTGCCCGGCGCAGTTGGTCAAGGGGGGGCGGCCAAGAGCAGGGGCGTCATGACATTGATCCGTCGGCCGGAAGAAGTAGAAAAAACATGAGCTCGGAAGGTGGACAACGTAGATCGGATGAGGTAAATACCTGAGGTCGATTGGGTTCAGACCCTCCCATAGAACAACAACACACAGCAAAACCATATCGATTCTTGCAGCAGGAAGGCGCTAGAAGTAGATTCTGGGATCTGGGAATCTCAAAAATACCTACTTTCAACGACTGGCGTGTGCGCTCACACGCATTCTTGGTCGCGGCGGTGGCGGCTCGCGCGGCACGGTCGGAGCCTCCTGCGCCGCGGGGCCGCTGCAGCGGGCGAACTGCGGGCGAGAAGCGAAGGGGGGGACAGGAGGGCGGCCGCGGATCCACGCTGGCTGACATAGAACTATCACTAGGCACCAGCAGGGCAGCGCAAGAGGGAGCTGTCTTGCGCACGCTGGCAGAATGCAACGCTATGCTGGGTCATGCATGCTCCGCCCACCGGATGGGCCTCCCTCTCAAGATGTCTTTCCCCGCAACGCAGCGCAACCCACACCCTGAGCATCGCGGTGCGTACGAGGAAGGCCCGGGCAGCCAGGTACGACAGACTGAGCGCCACGCGTGGGCAGCAGCAGCAGCAGCAGCAGCAGCAGCAGCAGCAGCAGCAGCAGCAGCAGCGGGGGGGCAGGAGGGCGGCCGCAAAGGGAGGGAGGGCGGTGAGGGCGGCGCACTCGGGCCTTGAATGCCCAGGGCTACGCTCACCAACAGAGCCATGCAACATCTACCCATCGGTGGGAAGAAGTGGGCAGAGACATGGCGACGAGCGGCGCTGGAAGCAAACTTTGGATCTCCGCCGGGGCCCATGAAGGCGACGGAAGAGGGACCACCACTCGAGCCCTGAAGTAGCAAGGCGCCCAGAGCACATCGGGACCTGGGGATCAAGAGAAGCCGACTCTCAACGACTGATGGGCACACGAGCCCTGTGGCAGGTCGGGGCGAGGGAGGGTCTGCCACCCTTCGGGGCAGGCCTGCAGTGCACTTGGCCTCGTCGCTGGTGTCGGAGGTGCCTCAGCTGAGGAGCCGCACCTGACCGTTCGACCCCATGCAAATAACATTCGGGATGATGATCTGCGATGAAGGAGCTACCTGGATTGGCGGCGAGCCTGGGGGGGGAGCGAGAGGGGATGGCCTTCTCAAAGGCTCGGGAGGCCTTCCGAGCCTTCTGAAAAATATTCGAAGCCTTCCCCGAAGACAAAGACATCTTGTCAGAAGGCGCGAGGGCTTCTGAAAAGCCCCCCGCTTTCTGAGAAAACCTACCCACTCTCAGTTTCCCCCCGGCACGCCGCCGACTGAATACGGGGGTGCGACATCATCGTGGACACTGTGCGCATCATCGAATCGAGCTGGCGGAGGCGTGGTGCCGAGCGACGTCGCACTGGTCTCGTGCGACAGCTTGTGCTGCGTTGGGGCCCAAAACGCCAGCTGCAAGAGCGGGGACATGGGAGGCATCATCGAGGAGGGCGCGCATACGAACCTCTGGGGTCAAGCAGCTGAGGACCGAGATACCCCACGAGGGCGTCGCCCACCTGCCCCCATGGGAAAGAGCCGCGCGCGCAGGATTCCAGGGCGATGCAGTCTGAGGACTCTCCCCCCGAGGGGGCGCGAGCGGGCCGACCCCGGGGCGGGAAGCACCACATGGGAGCGCAAGCGCGGGTCGGGCCGTCGCGGCCACCGCGGTGACCAACGATACCGTGGCGCCCCCGACGCTCGCCACGCAGAGCTACGGGATACTGGCTACTCAAGAACGGTGTGCGGTCAGATGATGTGACCTTGTGAAGAGCTTCGGGTGCGACCGACACGCCCCTGTCTGCGAGGGATGCCCGAGTAACGGATCCAGCGCGGCAGTGCTGCGCATGTATGCCGCGTTCGGCGAAGGCCACACATCGGGCCAGCCGGTGTGAGAAGAGCACCGTGGCAGGAAGCGTGCTAGCGTGGGCGGCGCTGAGCACCAGTTCCGCTGGAAGGTCAGAAGTCTTCTCGTCGAAGAGGGCCTGGCTGGGGCGGTGCTGCTCGATGGTTTCCGTTCGAACTCTGGGCTCAGAGGTCGCCCCCCCAAAGCGCCCCGGCCGCTCAGCCCACGCGGTCCTCCTCCTCCTCCTTCTCCTCCTCCTCCTCCTCCTCCTTCGTTCCGTCATCCCTCCTCGGTGCTTCCTCCTCTCTACTGTTTCCTCCTTGCGACGCTAGAAGAACAACAATGATATAAGCAAGACATATTTCGCAGCTCCGTGCTGATATTCTGGGTCGGTGCTGACCCCACGCCGGCGCCGCCTCTGGCGCAGCCTCTGGCGCGCCACGCGCGCCAAGGAGGGGGATCCAGCGCCGATCAAAGAAACCCGCGCGGAGCTCATAACAATTTATGTCGTTGCACTTTTTCCTGCTGCGAGGTGCTGGAGCACAGTCGCTGTCCTGGGCGAACAGCACGACGGAGACGTCGAGGTCCACGTCCCCCGCCTGGCGGCAAGTGCGGCCGGCCGCAGCCGGATTCCGCGAGGATGCTGCCGTCGCGGCGCTGTTCTGCGGCTGGTGCACGCCATCGTGACTTCTCCTGCTCCTCCCTCCTCCTCCTCCTCCTGCTCCTCCTCCACCTCCTCGCCCCCCTCCTCCTCCTCCTCCTCCTCCTCCTCCTCCTCCTCCTCCTCCTCCTCCTCCTCCTCCTCCTACCCCTCGTCCTCGCCCCCCTCCTCCTCGTCCTCCTCCATCCCTTTTCCTTGTAAACAACTCCTGCCCTCCACACCCTGAGACGTGTCGGTAAGGAGGGCCGGGCGTTTCGCCTGAGACGATCTCGCCATTCATGCCCATGAAGCTGGAACTTTGCAACAGTTTCACAGGTTGAGGGCGGGGGGGCGGGGCTTGTCAAAAGGCTCGGACGGCCTTCAGGCTTCTGGGAAGCTCTCGGAGCCTTATCCAAAGGAAGGGAGGGCTTCTCTGAAGGCCAGAAGGCTTCTGAGTAGCCCCGCTGCCTTGTGTGAAGGCTGGCACCCCCCTGCCTTCCCCCCAGGCGGGCGCGTCGACGATAGTTGTGCTATTTTGTGGAGCCAAGATGAAGAGCCTTTCCACCGCATTCAGGACGGCCTGCACAACAATTTTGAGAAGGCCCACAGGGGTTCGACCACATGACTCGACATCTGCGTCACTGGGATCTCCCAGGCCTCCCCGCCCCCCAAGCGCGGTGACGCATGTGTTAGGTATTACAACTTGGTTTTTGTAAAAAAAAAAAAAAAAGAGAGGGGGCCATAAGGATGCCTCCAGGGGTCGTGGCTTCAGCGCGGCAAGATTGCGTGGGATTGAGTGAGCGTCTTGGGCCCACTGGAGCCTGATTTGACACGATCAGATTGCCCATTGAGGTCCAGAATAAACTTCTAATGGCGGACGTCATGGAAACGCAAATCCAAAGCCCCTTTCGGGGTGTGGCTTGGATGGTTCGAAGGTGGGACGAGGGCGAGAGCGGCGACGGCGACAGCTTCCACAAGTGCCTCGACGAGGCCGACGAGCGCATCGACGAGGACGCCGAAATTCCGACGAAGAAAAGGGCGGCGACGGCGAATACAACGAGACGGTCTCCACGGAATTTCCGTCGGACCATGACCTCCTGCACCACCCCGACACCGACGGTGATTGGGATTCGCCTTGGAAGAGCGATGGGCAAGCCGATGATGACGGCATCCGATACTTCGCAGACGTCGAATGGCTTTCCGCCGACGAGGCCATGCTCGCTATAATGCTTCGGAACGTAAGGGGATAGCGCCGCTTGGTTGCTCAGAAGCCACCAGACACTGATATCCCTCAAGGCACCGCTGATTGACTACAGACAGTGGCGGCCACCAACCACTGCTACCCCGAATACTGTCCACTCTGCTGAGCTGTGCGGTGGCGGTCGCAAACATAGTTCCATGGCCACCGTGCCCCTGGCTCGACCCACCCAAACAGTGACGCTGAGAGCCCACAGAGCGTGTGGCACACCTCTGACGCGACGGCGCGGCCTTTGGTTTTTCCGCCAACGCGTGACCCGCTCATGGAGGAACAAGCAACGGCATAATCATCTACATTCGGAGCTCCGCGCGGATCTGTTGATCATCGCTGGCCCACACTCCCTGGCGCGCGGAGCGCGCCAGGGGCGGCGCCGGAGGCACCGCCAGGGAGGGGCCAGTGCAGGTCCAAGACATTCGTGCGGAACTCCCAAACCTTTTTGCTTATATGCCGCGGTTTGTTCCTCTGGCTCTGCCTGGAAGAGGCGCCGTTGCTTGGCCCCCACGCCCAACATCTGCCAGGCGAGCGACGAAAAAAGAAGAAGCTATTTCGCGAGACGACGTCATGAACGACCTCACGCCGCGTCTCACGCTGGCCGCCAGCGCGGCACGCTGCCTAGAGACGGGGGCGCATACGCGCGACCGTACGCGGGCAACTTACGCGCGAATGTCGTCGAATACGGACTCGTTGTTCTGCGTCGCCCACATGTTTTCGACAGTGCGCGCCAGTGCCCGCGCCGCCGCGCATAGGCGCCCGCGCCACACACACACACAAACACACAAACACACACATACACACAAACACGCACACACAACAACACACACAAACACACAAACACACACACACACACACGCTTCAGGCCGGCGGTCCGTGGCTCCTAGGTGCGGGACGCGCGCCCTTGAGTGCACGACACACACACACACACACACACACACACACACACACACACACACTCACACTGACACTCACACTCACACACACAACAAGCAAGCACGCACGCACGCACACACACACACACACACACACACACACATACACGCACACACACACACACACCACACGCACACGCACGCACACACACACACACCTCACACTCACACTCTCTCTCTCTCTCACACACACACACGCACACGCGCACACACGCGCGCACGCACGCACGCAGCCCCCCCCCCCCCTTCCCCCTCCCCCCCCCCCACACACACATACACACACACACACGCGCACACACACGCACACACACGCACGCACGCACGCACGCACGTACACGCACACGCACACGCGCACACGCACACGCGCACACGCACACGCACACGCACACGCTCACGCACACGCAAACGCACACGCACACGCACACGCACACGCGCACGCGCGCACGCACGCACGCACGCACGCACGCACGCACATACATACATACACACAGACACACACATACACACCCTGTATCCGTGCGCTCGCGGCCCGGGCCCTTTGAGATTGGGCGGTGCGCTCGCAGTGCGCACGCACGCACGCACGCACATACATACACACATACACACATACACACAGACACACAGACACACAGACACACAGACACACAGACACACAGACACACAGACACACAGACACACAGACACAGAGACACAGACACACAGACACAGACACAGACACAAACACAGACACAGACACAGACACAGAGACACACACACACACCGCACCCGTGCGCTCGCGGCCCGGGCCCTTTGAGATTGGGCGGTGAGCTCGCAGTGGTCTTCGGCCTGGCCTGCCTGTGGGCGTGGCGCGGCGCGGCGGTTTGCTGCTCGCTCCGCCCCAGCTCCTCGAGACCACCATCCCACCCTGCCTCTCTCTCCTCCCTCCCTCCCCCCCGGCCCACCTGTTGCCCCTGCGCCTGCGCGTCCGCCGCCTCGGACCCAAACTCCGCCACCTACTCCTCCACCACCTCCACCACCTCCATCACTTCCAGCACTCAGGAACGGCGAGCAGGTCTGGTTCAACAAATGTGATTTCGACGGCTGCTGGGGCGCCTCATGTCGAGCTGGGGGGCCTCTGGTCGGGCTGGGGGGGGACATCAGATCTAGCGAAAGCAACCTTGTCCAACGAACCTTTTTGCAAGTCTCCGAACAACCTCGTCCTCCGCCGCAGCCTCCGTATCCTCAACCACCTCCACGCAGACCGAAGGGGGGGTGGAGGCGGGAACGGGGCAGAGCGGGGCACCGCAACGGGCGCACGGCCGCCTTCGGGTCCACGTCCCAGCCGAGCCCCGCCCTGACGAGCGTCATGTGGTTGGAATCCTGGAGGTCTAGAACCTCGTGGGATGGGGGCCCGCCCGCCGCCTGGGCCTCCCCCTCCGCCTCCGCCTCCTGTTGAGGTCCACAAGCCGGCATCAACACGCAAACTGTCGGAAGCTCGGGCAAGTGCATTGGGTCGGCGCTGCTCCCCCAGCGCGCCACGGGCGGTGCCGGAGGCGCGGCCGGGGCGGCCCGGCGCCGATCCAAGAAATCTGCACAAACCTCCGAATGGTTGTGTTTTTGCCCGCGTTTGTTCCTCGATCCTCGTTATCCTCATCCCCCCCGTGAGGGGTGCAACAAGCGAGTCGCAGTCAACGGAGTCGTTGGCACTTCAGCGCGCGGTTGCGGTCTGACGTATATATACATATATATATATACGCCCGCATGAGCGACGACAAGAAACGAACCCTACGCAAGATGGCACAGCGACCATATGCGGTGGCTTACGCGGGCCGCCAGCGCGGCGAACCACACTGGACACGAGGGCGCTTACGCACAACCTTACGCGGGCAGCTTGCACGCCAATGCCGGCGCAGACGACTCCCTTGTCTTGCGTCGTTCACATGGGAACATCTTCGTGGGGGCTAGATCGGGCCACTGGGGGCCATCGCTCTGGCTCCCTCCCTGGCCTCGTCGTCGGGGGTCGAGGCGGGAGGCCGCGGCGGGGAGGAAACCAAGGCCGGACGATAGAACCTCACTGCCAGCCCCGGTCGGGGCGTGAGCAGCGAGGAGGAGGACGAGTCCCCAATAAGCGCTGATCATCCGCAGGATCTGCGCAGCGACACTTTCCCCCCGCCACGCAGGCAGCTTGGGAGGCGCACGCGCACCGGGGAGCATCCGCACCTTACCCATGATGCGCGTGGCCTCCTTGAGGCTGCCATCCCACGTGGGGCCGCAGCGGGATGCGTCACGCTGCGTACTGCAATGCCCCCGCTGGCAACCATCGCAGCACCAAACCACGCCTATGCGTGGTCAACTAATTAGTGGTGCCGCGGGGCATGATGCCCAAGGGCCGTAGGTATCCGGAACGTGCCATGGGATACTGGCGCGCGCATGGCACCATTGACGCCGCAGGAGGCTCGAGCACATCATATGGCGAAACTGGGCGAGTGGGCCCAGGGAAAGTTTCGCCAGGACTCGAGCCAACGACTATGGGTAGCGAAACAGATGATGACGATAGCGATGCTGACGACGACGATGAGGTTCCGACCACGCCTGCGCAACACCGAATCCGTGACACTCAAGCCGGACCTCTCGGTGTCACGGTTTCCGCCGATCGGCTTTCGCACCCCGGCCTGGGCTGCGGGAGCGGCGGCCCCAGGCGACACGAAAACGCCGAACAGTAAGACCCTGGGCCCTCCGAGGGCCCCCAAAACATAGTTCTCGGCCGATGAGCGCTCTGTCTGGGGAGGAGGGTTCAAATTCTCTGGCCCCCAGAGGCGGCCTTGTGGCTGACAGTCGACCTGCCGATAAGAACAAGTGTTGCGATGGGGGGGGAAGGATTTGTCCGCCGCGCGCACAACAAACTGGAACCAACCCGATGTTGATGCTACGCCACTCCCTGTCCCTACATCCCCGCCCAGACGCGGGCCGCCGGGCCCCCGGGCGGTGGCAGCAGGCGCCGCCGCCGCCTCCGGCTGCTAGCCGCCAGAGCAGCCGCAGCCGCCCGCCGCATCCTCCTCCTCTTCTTGCTCTTCCTCCTCCTGCTCCACAATTACACCATATGAATAATACTCTCCTCTCTCCCCTGGTGGCGTTCCGCAAATGTCCAGCCACCCTCCGCGTACTGGTGTTTAACACACAAGATTCCTGGAATTTGGGTTTTCGCTTGGTTTGTACTTTCCCCTCCAAAAATGCTGCTCTCGCTGAAGCGCCGGCCTCATTTTTGGGCTACCGCTCGTTCCGAATCGCGCTCCCGCTGCAGCGCTGGCTTCATTTCCGCGCTTCCGCTCGTCCCGAATCGTGCTCCCGCTGCAGTGCTGGCGTCATTATTCTCAGCGCCATGCCACGGCATGGTTTTCGGTTCTTCCAAACAGGCCCCAAAATCTAGAAAATGCCCCCCGAAAAAACCATCGGAAGTGATTACACATTCGCTGTCGATGCAATGATTTCTTGGGCCGCAGAAGCCCCCCCCCACTTTGGGGCGTTGCCACGCCATGCTATGTCATGCTACGCGTTGATCTTCAACACCATGCTATACCATGCAATGATATGCCATGCTACGACATCCGATTGTGCAAATACAGATGAGATCTACGCCATGGTAATGGATGGGAGGGAGGGGTAGGACGTCAGATATGACGCGAGCGCACCTAGCTTGTCTCTTCCCCTCCTCCTCCTCCTCTTTTCCGCCTCCTCCTCCTTTCCGCCTTCTCCTCCTCCTCCTCCTCCTCCTCCTCCTCCTCCTCCTCCCCGCTGCGGCCGTCTGCTCGGCGCTGCCCCCTGCTCTAGGCCGCGCGCCTCTCCCTTCTCCATGGCAAACGCCACCTTCTGCCTCTTGGGCGCTCCTCTCGCCGATTGGGAGGCCGAGGAGACCAGGACGCAGGATGCAACAGAGAAAGTGGAACCAACGAGTCGCGAGCATGACAGGGCAGTAAAGCATGGATGCGCCACTACAGCAAGAGGCGCGCGGACGCTGACAAGCAATTCGTGAGGCAGGTGAAGCAAGCACCGTCACCTGGGAAACGCCGCCCAAAACCAGTGTCGGGTCGAAGCCGAAGGGCATCGAACATAACACATCTCGAGGTTGAAGCCTCGGATGTGCGCGACTCACCACACGGGCGTGAGCCCCGAGTTGTCCTCGCTCTACCACGGTAGAAGATGAGCCTAGGTTGAAAGAGGCACCAGCAAGCAGCAGCAACGATGGAGAGGGCGAAGGAGGAGGAGGAAAAGGAGGGAAAGGAGGACGAGGAGGAGGAGGAGGACGAGGAGAAGGAGGAGGAGGAAGAGGACATGAAGGAGCATGCCACGCGTCAGATTATGCTGATTACGATGAGGAGGGGGGGAGGATGATGATGAGGATGAAAGAGCGGTGCCGAGGGAGAGCACGATGAGAAGCAGGGGCAATTGCAGGAGCAGCAGGAGCGGAAAACGGGCGGAACTCCTGGGATCACGCCGCGGATTAGGTTGCCCAAAGTGGGCTCCACGACCCGCTGGCTCCGCTGGGGCGCTCCGAGGCGGGGCTGAAGAGGGAACGGAGGGGCGAGGTTTGAGAAGGAACGAGGAGGAGGAGGAGGAGGAGGAGGAGGAGAAGGATGATGATGATGATGATGATGATGATGATGATGATGATGATGATGATGATGATGATGATGATGATGATGATGATGATGATGACGAGGAGGAGGAGGAGGAGGAGGAGGAGGAGGAGGAGGAGGAGAAGCAGGAGCAGGAGCAAAACCAGGAGCAGGAGGAGCAGGAGCAGGAGGAGGGAGGAGAGGAGAGGAGTGAGGGGGGCCCTCCCTGCCTGCTTCTGTTTTTGTTTTTCTTTGGATGGGGGAGGGGGCCCCTGCCGCTGGCACTCGGGTGGCCGTCGCCATCCACCTGGGTGCCGAGAACTGCCTCCGTGACGGCCTCCCCCTGTCGTGGCGGGCTTGGGACCTCCAACCGGCACGCCTGGCCCCTGTGGACACGAGACACATTGCGGACGGGTCTCGTGCCGGGGCCGCGGATTAGCGGAGGAGGCGAAGGAGAAGGAAAAGGAGAAGGAAACAGGGGAGGAAAAGGACAAGGAGAAGGAGGAGGAGGAGGAGGAGGAAGAGGAGGAGGAGGAAAAGGAGAAGGAGAAGGAAACAGGGGAGGAAAAGGACAAGGAGGAGGAGGAGGAGGAGGAGGAGGAGGAGGAGGAGGAGGGGACAGCAATAATGTCACCGCCGTATCGCTGGGGCACGAATGGGGCGCCGTCGCTGGAGCCCGCATGGGGGAATGAGATCCGGCGAGCGGGGGACACCCGCCACGTGGGTGAAATCGGGGGGTGCGATCTACAGTCGCGGCGTCGTGGTGCCGAGTGCCTGTCGTCACTCCTCCTCCGCATAACCGCATGGACTGTCCCTCACCACCTCCTCGCCCCAAGGCCCTTCGACGATCCAGGCGAGTCCAAGATTCTAGGGGGTGACATCCCGGAAAGGGGGGGGCGAACTTGCTGAGGCAGTCGTCCGCTAAGTTGCGGCTAATCGAGCCGCGGCGCGCACGAGGGCGGGCGAGCCCTCGGCAGGGCTGCGCCTGGGCCGGGCAGCAAGCGGAGGGAGGAGGAGGAGGAGGAGGAGGAGGAGGAGGAGGAGGAGGAGGAAGAGCAGAGGGGCTTGGCCGAACCCCCAAACGGCGCGGTGACCATACCGCGCGGTGATTCAGCGGGGATGCGGGGTAGCCGCACGGTTTCGGGACGTGGGTCGTTCTCCGAGGATGTCTGGGGCAGCCGGGGCCCCCAGGAACTCCAAACGGCACGCTGACGGACACTGCTGTCATGTCTTTGCGGATTTCGGAACCACCGCAAGGTCTGTCACTGCGCAGTTTTGGGATCACCAATCAGCTCGCGCAGCGGTCTTTCCTGGTGCCCCCCAGCGTCGGGGGGAGCCAACGTAAGTATCGAAGAACGGCGCCTGGCGGCGGGGCCAGAAACGTCTGCGTGAAGCACATCTCGTAACCGCACCTTTCCCTATCCCCCCTTTCTCGATTCTTATCAGAGCTCGTGCTATCGCCAACGTGCGCTTACCCGCGGGCAGCGCGACGAGGGCCGACAGAGGCTGCGCGCCATCGGTGGAGCTGAGCGGGGTAAGCGCACACTGGACTACGCAGCGCACACCGTAAAGAGCATCGGCTTTCGTCCGACCCGACATGGGGAGGCACCGTCTCCCACGCGCGGCGCCTAAGAAGAGCGCCGCTGCGCCCCAGCGGCCACCGCGTGACGCACAGAGCGAGCAAGAGGAGGCGGACATTCCCCACCTCCGCCGCCTCGGCCCCGGCCAGGGGGTCGTGCCGCGGCGGACCGCCGCCCGCCGCTGCTGCTGGCCATCGCTGGCGCCCCCGCCGCTGTCGGCGTCGACGTCTGGCCCGAGCCCCAGGGGTGGCGCCCCGTGGAGGCCCTGGGAAAGCCCCAAAGAGGCCCCGGGGAAGCACCACGTAGAGGCCCAGGAGCGCGACACCCGCGGAGGTCCTGGGAAACGGCCGTCGTTGTTTCCACGGTCGTTGTCCTCGTCCTCGTCGTCGTCGTCGTCGTCGTCGTCGTCGTCGTCGTCGTCGTTGTCGTTGTCTGTCATCGGCGTCGGCGGTGGCTGCCGCCCGCCGCTGCTGGTGGCTACCGCTGGCCTGCGCTGCTGGTCTGGGTCCCGAGTCGTCGGCGTCAATCCGCGGGTGCGTCTGTCCCCCCGCTGCCGGCTCTTAGGCCGTCGTGGCAGCCTCGAGGGCCATCTTAAAACGTCGTGGCGGTATCCTGGGCCATCTTGAAGCTTCCTGGCCTGCTGGGGCCCGTGTAAGCCGTCCAGCACGCCCCGGAACGCGCCCCGGAAAAAACCCGAAGAGGCCCAAGAGGGGCGCTGCCGCCCTGCTGCCCCGCCTGTGGGTCTCACAGACGGGGCGTCGTCCTCCCTGTTCACATCTGCTCTTCCCGCCTGCTCTCCCTCCCTCCGCGCGCCGCCATGGCGCTGACGGGCTGCTCGCAGCCGCCGCGCTGTCACCCCGGGCTTGGTCTTGCCCCCCGCCGCCTGCGGCCCAGCTTTTTGCTGGACACCACGCCCGCTCCCGCCCTGGGGAAGGTGCGGCCACCAGACGTCGGCTCCACACTGACCGTTTTGCACCCTTGCCCCACTGGATGGTCACAGCCCCCGCGCTGCGCCCCGCCGCCGCCGGCCCCCCCCGGTGCAGCAGCCGCCGCGGCCCTGCCGGCGGGGCCGACCGCGCCGCGCGCTCGGGGCGCGACCCGTCCCCCTGAGCGGCCTCGTTCCCCTCCCGCCCCCTCTTTCGGCAGTTTCCTCTGCCCTGTCCCCTCCTCTTGCATGGTGGCACAGTTCGCTACAACGGCATCCCATTTTAGGTCGCTTTTCGCCAGCGCAGTTACTCTGCCTAGCCGCCGACGCACAAACAAGTGTTCGGTGATTGGTGTTTGCGATTTGGTGTTGTGGCTCGGAATTTGGTGTCTGGGGTGTTGGTGTGAGGGTGTTTGGTGTTTGGTGTTTGGTGTCTGGGGGTTGGGGTTTGGTGTTTGGTGTTTGGGGTTTGGTGTGGTGGGGTTGAAGGGGTGGTGTGGCCGGGTGTTTTCATGGGTGTCCATTGGTTGTTCCTGGAGAGGGAGCTCCCCCCCGCACCGCCTCTCCCCGCCCCCCCCCGCCCCCCCTTTCCCCTTCCACCCCTTTTCCCCTGCGTTGCCATCCGCCCCCCCCCCCCGCCCCCGCTTCTCCCCCGCCTCTCCCCGCCCCTCGTTTCTCCCCCGCCTCTCTCCGCCCCCCGCTTCTCCTCTGCCTCCCCCCTTCTCCCGCCCCCTCTCCCCCCGCACCCCCCCGCACCCCTGGACCTCCTCCTCCCCTCTCCCCTGCGCCCCGTCGCCCTCGCCATTCTCCGTCCTTGCACCGCCCAGGGCGCCTGTCGGCGGCCACAAGGTGCCGACAGGCGCACCCGATGTCCACGAAGTGCCTGCCCTCCTGCGGCGGCGGGGCTCCTCCTCCAAGGATGCCCCCTCCTCGTCCTCCCGGGTCCTCCTCGTCGTCTCCCCCCCCCTCCCTCTCTTCTGCTCCTCCCGCGTTCCGCGTTCCTCCTCTGCGCTCTTCCGTGTTTGTCCTCTTCCTGTTCTTCCTCGTTTTCGTCCTCCTCCTCCTCCTCCTCCTCTTTCCCCTCCTCCTCCGCTCCTTCTCCTTATAAATAACTTCTCCCTGTCGCACACCGAAGCCAGTGTTTACGGCGGGCCGGGCGTTTCGCCTGAGACTTCCTCACCACTAATGACCCTGAGGCTTAAACCTTGGCAACCGTTTCGCACATGGAGGCGCGCTGTTTTCAAAATGTGGTTCTCGCCTTTGCGCCGCGCGCGTTCGCTTTAACGACCCGGGGAGGACGTACCCAACCATTTGTTGGTATTAAAGAACATAGGGCGAGCAACTATACATCGGACCGCTCCGTTTAACAGCCATCATTGAATTATCCGCAATGCCCTTGAACGCTTCGCCAAAGAACGTCGGGCCAGATTCAGATGTTTCACATGCGGCGTCACTCTTAAGAGTCATGTCCTTGGTAAAAGAGCGACCACGAGGGGGCGTGGAAACATGTGGAAGAGGGACGATTGGGGACATCATTCGTGGGAGTAGCAACGCCTTGCGCTGCGTTCGCATTGCAGGACAGCGCTCTGCGCGCCATGACAATACAGCGCCTTGCGCTTAACGTAGCATCTGCGCGCACGCATTGCAAACAACAGGCAACTGAAGAAGGGATGCGGCATGGGCAACGGACAGCGCCATGCGCTATTCGTTGCGAGGCGCTGGCCCTCCCAGAAGCCCACGGAAACGGCGACGGACTCGCAGATCGCAGGCGCCAATGGGGCGGCGAGGTCCCGTGGTGATCTGCGTAGGACGTACCTCCGCTGGCCCTCCCAGAAGCCCACGAAAGTGGCGACAGCTTCGCAGATCGCAGCCCCCCAGGGGCGACGCGGTCTCGTGGTGATCTGCGTGGGACGTACCTCGGTTGGGCCTCCCAGAAGCCAGCGAAAGTGGCGACAAGTTCGCAGATCGCAGCCCCCCAGGGGGGCGGCCTCGTGGTGATCAACGTAGGACGTATCTCCGCTGGCCCTCCCAGAAGCCCACGAAAGTGGCGACAGCTTCGCAGATCGCAGCACCCCAAAGGGCGACGAGGTCTCGTGGTGGATCCGCGTAGGGCGTACCTCCGCTGGGGCCTCCCAGACGCCCACGAAAGTGGCGACAAATTCGCAGACCGCAGCCCCCCCAGGGGGGCGGCCTCGTGGTGATCAGCGTAGGGCGTACCTCCGCTGCCCCCCCCCCCCAGGAGCCCACGAACGTGGCGACAGTTTCGCAGATCGCAGCGCCGGCGCCCCAGGGGACGGAGAGGTCGCGTGGTGATCCGCACATGGCGTCACCCCACTGGCCCTCCCATGGGCCAGCGAAAGTGTCGACAGTCTCGCAGACCGCAGCACCCCACGGGGCGGCGAGGTCTCGTGGTGATCTGCGTGGGACGTACCTCTGCTGGCCCTCCCAGAAGCCCACGAGAGTGGCGACAGTTTCGCAGATTGTAGCCCCCCAGGGGGCGACGCGGTCTCGTGGTGATCTGCGTAGGACGCACCTCCGCTGGCCCCCCCCCAGGAGCCGGCGAACGTGGCGACAGCTTCGCAGATCGCAGCCCCCCAAGGGGCGACGAGATTTCGTGGTGATCTGCGTGGGACGCACCTCCGCTGGCCCACCCAGAAGCTACGAAAGAGGCGACAGCTTCGCAGATCGCACCCCCCCCCCCCCGCCCAAGGGACGGCGAGGTCCCGTCGTGATCTGCGTAGGACGCACCTCCGCTTGCCCTCCCAGAAGCCCACGGACACGGCGACGGATTCGCAGATCGCCCCCCCCCCCCCCCGGGGGCGGCAAGGTCTTGCGGTGATCCGCGTATGACGTACCTCCGCTGGCCCAGAAGCTCGCGGAAGTGGCGACAGACGGCGTAGTCTCGTGACGGTATGCGAAGGACGTACTTCCGCTGGCCCTCCCAGAAGCTCACAGAACTGGCGGCAGCTTCGCAGATCGCAGCCCCCCAGGGGACGGAGAGGTCTCGTAATGATCTGCGTGGGGCGCACTTCCGCTTGGCCTCCCAGAAGCCAGCGAAAACTGCGACATATTCGGGGGCCGCCGCCTCCCAGGGGACGGCGAGGTCTCGTGGTGATCTGCGTAGGACGCACCTCCGCTTGGCTTCCCAGAAGCCAACGGAAGTGGCGATATATTCGCAGATCGCAGCCCCCCAAGGGGCGACGAGGTCTCGTGGTGATCTGCGTAGGACGTGCCTCCGCTGGCCCTCCGTGAAGCCCGCGAAAGAGGCGACAGCTTGTCAGATCGCAGCCCCCCAGGGGCGACGCGGTCTCGTGGTGATCTGCGTGGGACGTACCTCGGTTGGGCCTCCCAGAAGCCAGCGAACGTGGCGACAGGTTCGCAGATCGCAGCCGCAGGGGGGCGACGCGGTCTCGTGGCGATCTGCGTGGGACGTACCTCTGCTGGCCCTCCCAGAAGCCCACGAGAGTGGCGACAGTTTCGCATGTCGCAGCCCCCCTGGGGACGGCGAAGTCTCGTGGTGATCTGCGTGGGACACGCTCCAGCCGGCCCTCCCAGAAGCCAACGAAGGTGGCGACAAGTTCGCAAATCGCAGCGAAGCCCACGAAAGTGGCGACAGCTTCGTAGATTGCAGCCCCCCAGGGGACGGCGAGGTCTCGCAATGATCTGCGTGGGACTCGCCTCCGCTGGCCCTCCCCGAAGCCAACGAAAACGGCGACAGGTTCGCAGATCGCAGCCCCCCAAGGGACGGCGAGGTCTCGTGGTGATCTGCGCGGGACGTACCTCCGCTCGCAGCCCCTCTGGGGACGGCGAGGTCTCGTGGTGATTTGCGTGGGACGTACCTCCGCTGGCCCTCCCAGAAGCCCACGAACGCGGCGACAGTTTCGCAGATCGCAGCGCCCCAGGGGACGGAGAGGTCTCGTGGTGATCTGCGTGTCCCGCCCAAGTCGCCGCCGTAGAGGCCGTTGCCTCGTCGCGGGTGGCTCTTCTCTCCTGGCCCATGGCCTGGCCTGTTTGCTTGCGGTTGTTTCCCGTCCCTTTCTGCTCGCTGCTTCCCTCCATGTCCCTTCCTCCTGCTCCCTGCATGTTGTCCCCGCTTGGCCCCTCTTCTGCCTGCCCGCCCGCCCCGCCGGCCCTGGCCTCCCGCCTGGGCGTTCGTCGTCGTCTGCCTGTCCCCTCCCGCCTGGAGATCCTCCTTCTGGTCCGTAATTATCCTCGTCGAGAACCATCGCGCGCAACACGAACTCCTGAGCGGCGTTGCAGGTGTCAAGCTCCTTCTCCGAAATTCACGACCTGGCCGTTTCGGAGGCCGCCTTCCCGCTCTTGCGCAGCCGGGCGAGGTAGTGGGCAGCAATCCTCGCCTTCGCGCCTCCTAGGTTCCAGCCGTCGATGTCCCGATGCTTCTGGAGGTGATCCATGAGCCCCGCGAGGGTCGCGGGTCTCCTTCTCGATGATCTGGATGAGCTCGGGCACCTTGGAAGTACCTGCCAAATTCTGCGATCCTGTCAAGGACGTCGGGCCCGTGCGGATTCCGGCACCGCCTGGGTCGGCGCTCGAGCTTCCCTTGGTGACCGCGTCGGTCCTGACGATGTCCTCGTGCTCCTTGGGTCGATCCAAGAGAGAGCTGATCCCGCTGCTCACTCAGCTCCGACCTGATCCTGGGCGAGTCCAGCGAGCTCAGGGTCGCCTCGGTCCCCGAACTCCCGTTTGTCGTATGTGGCGAGTGATTGCCGCCGCCTTGCTCTATTTGGGCGATCTCTTTCGCGAGCTCCGTCTGCGATTGCACGACGACCCCAGCAAGTCGTGCATCTGGACACCCGCACGGCCGAACTCCCTCTCCGACGAGTCCGAATCCAAGTCCGAATCCACCCCAAACGGCCCTGCGGAATGCCTTCTTCTGCCCGGGCCACTTCAGGACGATGCCCCAGTCGAGGAATAAGCCCATAGCGATCAAGGCCATAACGTCCCAGTCCAGATCCTCGAAGTACCCGGCGATCTCCTCCCAGCGCTCGCTCGCGCACTCGGTGGCCTCGACCACTTCGCGGGCAGTGATGTACAAAGCCTTGATCGCAACCCAGATCTTGAAACGCTTGCCCACGACGTAGATGGCCCACGAGGCTCCGCCCCAGTACCCTGGGGCGCCCCAGGAGACGAACGCCTCGATCAGGTTGATGGCCGTCCCCAGGCAAGGCATTACTTATGTATTCGTCTAACCTTTGGTGGTAGCCGTCGTCCTCGTAGTAGCTTTGCTGTTGCGCTTCCGGACCACCGAATTCGACTGCTTCTCGATCTGTATCAGGTCGGCGGTGCTGAAGCCAGGCACGTCCGAGTAGTCGATCTCTGGCAGCGGAATCGGCTTTACCTTGGTCCGATCCCGCACATGGATCACCTGCGCGCGCTTCCGAGGGTCGGTGGCCGTCCAGTGCGGATCGTTTGCCTCCTGCGGGAACACCCGCCCCACCAACAGCATGACCACGCCTCGCCGACGCCCACCAGGCGCTGCCGCCTTGCTGGTGTAGTACACTCTGCAATATGTTTGAAAGGTTATATCCTGCTCGTGTAGTTGCACGCTCTCGAGGTCGTCCCCCGAGCAATGGAATCCGTCGTGCTGATCGGTCGGGTCCTCGCTGAACAAATGGGGCTCGGGAGCGTAGTAGCTCACAAACTCCTGACAGTACAGCTGCTCCTCACGCTCTGACGCGTTGTCGTCCCCAGCTGTCTCGTTGAGGGCCGAGAACTCCGTCACCAACACCAAAGAGCCCAAAAAGCCCCGCGGCCCAACGAGGGAACGCCGTGATTCCCTGTGATCTGAAGGATTTGAAAGAGGCTGCTCGATCAATCCCTAAAAAACTTGAGCCCAATTAGCAACAAACGGAAGGGAGAGCGGGAGCAGATACGATAAACACCGATCGACGATCAGATATTGGGTTCACTGTTTACGGGCCGCGTGTGTCCAGCAGATCTCAGCCCGAGGGCGGCACGCCATCGAATCGTTGTTTGTTTTCTCCCTCCCGGCCGGGCTCTTGCCCGGCAGAAGGAGCCGAGATGCGGGGCCTCCTTCGATTTCCGCCGCCTTCCACCAGCCCTCCGCCAGCGGGCCCGTCTGCGATCTGCTCTCGCCGCCTCCTGCCGGCTCCAACCGCGCGCCAGGTGTGGCCCCCGTGGTTTCGACGACGGCGAAAGCCTTCGTGGAGCTGGCCATGTACCCCAGCCTTGGGCTCCCCTGGATTATTTTGAGACTCTGGGAGGCCACATTAAGACGTGCGTGCGCAAAGCGGGCGTCTGGGGTCGTTGGGCGTGCGTGAGAAGTGTATGTTGGCACCCTACGTTCGCTAATACTTTTGATCACGCCTGGACGAGTGTAGTGTGGTTGTTTTGGGTATGGTCGTTTTGGATATGTTCCTTTTGGGTATGTCTGAAAGAATTTGGAGGGGTGGTGTAAAAAAATCAGAAAGAGACCAAACCAACCCGTCCTGTACTTCTACGTTGCGTACACGTGCAACATCGCGGGAAATTACTGCCAAAAAACCCCAAACCGATCTTTCCGCGACATTTCTCGACCTTGGTCGATGCGTGATGGTCCTGGGACCCGAACCAAGCAAACACTTTCCCGTCGGCGGCGAGGCAGAGGTGATCCACACCAGCGAGAGGCGATTCGGGGCAACCGAGCGAAAGCGCTGGGTGTGAAAAAGATGCAACGCCCGGATCTCAGGGCCGCCCACCCGCACACGTTCCTCCTGTCCCCCCCTGGGGATTCCTGCGCAGGCTCGTCGAGAACTCTGAGCACCCAGTGGCTGGACTCCCTCACCATCATGCAGATCGCGTCGACCTCTGCGGCGCTGTCTTCCATGGCGAAGCTGCCAACCTCGTTGTCCTTTCTCTCCTGTAATTGCGCTGGGACCGCACACCGCACCACAATCAAACACCAATGTGGTGGAAAACGTCCAGATCAAAGGGCATCAGCCCGCAAACCTAGCCGTTGGGTGCGAGTCCTTTCCTTTGCGGGCGTTTCCTCTCCCTGCCTGTGGCCACCCCGATCACCCCTCCTCAAACACGCCAGCTCAAACGAAAGCAAACAATGGCGGGATCGAGACACGAGTCTAATACAGTATTGTCGATCCTTGCGCCGGGACAGGTCGGAGGTTGGGGGGTCAGATCGCAGCGGAACGGAGACCCCCAACCGGGAAATCGTTCCGTTTCGTTCGTGTCGTGCGTGCGGGCGAGGCGAAGCTGCGTGGGCGCGCGAGAGGAATGAACCCGCCGCTGCTAGGGCGCATTCAAGACAAATGTTGCTCCCCCGTCCGTTCGTCCGTCCGTCCGTCCGTCCGTCCGTCCGGCGGTGGCCCAAGCGGTGTCCCGCGGTGTCCCGTGGTGTCCCGTGGTGTCCGCCGTTGCTAGGGCGAAGTCAAGACAAATGTTGCTCACCCGTCCGTCTGTCTGTCCGTCCGCCTGGCGGTGATCCTAGCGGTGGCTCGGGGTGTCCCGCGGTGTCTCGTGGTGTCCCGTGGTGTCCGCCGCTGCTAGGGCGAAGTCAAGACAAATGATTCTCCCCCGCTCGCCCGTCCGGAGGTGGCTCGCGGTTTCCCGCAGTGTCCCGTGGTGTCCCGTGGTGTCCTGTGGTGCCCCGTTGAATGAGATCGATAAACAGATCGATAGTGAGATCGATCGTAAAAACGATACTGAGATCGATGTGGTGCCCCGAGGTGTCCCGTGGTGTCCCAACACATGATACAGATAGAGAGATCGACAGGTGTCCCGTGGTGTCCCGTGGTGTCCCGTTGAGTGAGATCGAGAGTGAGATCGATAGTGAGATCGATGTGGTGCCCCGAGGTGTCCCGTGATGTCACGTGGTGTCCAACAAAATGAGATCGAGAATGAGATCGACAGGTGTCTCGTGATGTCCCGTGGTATCCCGTTGGGTGAGATCGAGAGTGAGATCGATATTGAGATCGATGTGGTATTCCGAGGTGTCCCGAGGTGTCCCGCGGTGTCCTATGGTGTCCCGTTGAGTGAGTAGTGAGATCGATAGTGAGACCGATAGTGAGATCGAGAGGTGTCCCGCGGTGTCCCGCTGTGTCCCGTGGTGTCCCGTTAAGTGAGATCGATAGTGAGACCGATAGTGAGATCGACAAGTGTCCCGTGGTGTCCTGGCGAATGAGATCGAGTGAGTCAGATGTTGGTTCCCCCCTCTCCCCCCCAACAACCTACTTATCACCCGAAGGGTCGTCGTATAGGTATATACAGAACTGCGCGGCGTGTTGACATTCCAAGACTCAACACAATTATCTTGGCTGATAGGCGATGGGCAATGGCAATGCTGAGGGTATCGATGGTGATGTTATGATGCCAGTGGCTGTGCTGTGCTGCACTGCGCTTTGGCGTGCTGTGCTGGACTGTACGGACTGTGCTGTTTCATGCTGTGTTGAGCTGTGCTGTACTCCATTGAGTTGTGGATCAAGGCGTCCTGGGCGTCCAGAGCGTTGCGGAACGCTCTGAGACACCTCCATCTCCATCTCCACCTCCATCTCCGATGTCGATGTCGAGTTCCCTTATCCCGATCTCAGGCCTGCCTGAAGACGACCCGCCACCGTGCCTTCGTCACACAGGGGCGTGTTAGCCGAGTGCCCCTCCATCTTCTTGTGGGGCCTACGGCCGTTGTTGTTTTGCCTAGCGCGTCGAGGCGGCGGCCCTGGCGACACGGTACGCCCTGCAAGCGGACAGCGTGTCGCGCCGCTCCGCACGGCGGGTGGCTGGGAAAGGGCTGGGGCGCGGACGCCTGGACATGGGGACGTGATTCGCGTCTCGCGCCGAGGCGTGGCGGGCCAAAGCTCCTGACCGTGTTCCACGACGCGAGGTCGGCTTTCTGGTTGGACGTCGGGCTTTCGGGCCGCAGCTCGGGTCTCTGGCGGCCAGTCGGGACGATTCGGGCACCTACGAAACGCTCTCGGCGAGGCGCAGCTGCTGGAACGGCTCCCCGGCCAGGAGCACCGTGCAGAACCGACGCGCACCTTTGCTAGGAGGAGGGGGAGGAGGAGGAGGAGGAGGAGGAGGAGGAGGAGGAGGAGGAGGAGGAGGAGGAGGAGGAGGAGGAGGAGGACTAGGAGGAGGAGGAGGGGCGAAAGCTCATTCCCCGCCGAGAGAAACAGACGGGGGGCAATAACTGAAGACTTCCTGAGGTCACCATTCCCTACCGCACAGCCCCCGGTCGACGGTGGCCCGAACGTGGGGCGAGCGGTCCAACCCGTCCTCGAGGAGGTGGACCCTGCCATTCCTGGCGTCCCTGAGGCACCCCCTGTTGTAGGCGGCCACCACCTCGAGCAGCGCGCGGGGGGCGGGCGGGGCGGAGAGGAAAAGGCCCAAATCGGCGGGCACGCCCACCGCCTCCGCGCGTCCTCGCGGCCTGGGCTCCTCCGGGGCGCAGGGAAACGCTCCGCGCGCGGGGCCACCTCCACCCCCTCACGCCTGGAGAGCGGCGCGTGGAAGACAAGACGAATGTGCTGTTCGCCATTGGGGGTTGCAACGTGCGCGATCTTGTTTTCAGCGCCTTCCGCGCGGCAAGCGTGGCGACCGTCCACACGGGCGTGGCCCCGCCGGGGTGTTTGGACGAGGAGCCGAGCAGCTGGCTGGAGGGCGCTGAGCCGCGCCGCAGGGGATCGACCTGCTTGGCCCTGGTGCGCTTCGTGTGCGCACGAGTTCACCACCCCCGCGACCTGCCTGCCCACCTCCGCGCGTGGTCACTACAGTCAACCCGCATACCAAGGACGCACGATAAGGATGCAAGGGCCTTGGAAGGCCATGTCGACACTTTGCGATCGGGGCGCGGCTAGCGAAAGCGGCCAAGGATGGGCCGCAGGGGAAGGATGCAAGGGTAAACTTGGAACATCTGTCATCCTTACTATGCGGGCTGACTGTAGCAGCAGCAGTGATGATGATGCCGAGTGCAAGCCGTCAGTAACTTTGCTTAGTGAGTCGCTATGCGGTGGTGGCCCTGGCGACTCGCTATGCCCTGCAAGAGGGCAGCGTTTCACTCCGCGACGCGGGAGGCTGGGAAGAACTGGGGACGTTGACGCTTGGGAAATGGGGACGCGGATAGACTGGGCCAAAACAGGCGGAGCGAAACGTTAAGCCAAAGCTCCTGACCGTAATGCCTGCACGGACTCGCTCTGCGCCTGTCCTTGTGCGCTCGTCCAGCCACAGCCGCCGACGCCTTTTGCCAGTAGCCAACGCACTGAGCGCAAGTGCATCAACAACTCTTGACAACAAGGCGGGGCGTCATGAGCTGTACGTTCTTCGGGGACGAGTGCGCGCCAACGGGCTGACGAGGGTATCCCTCCTGCGGAGGGGTCTTTTCGTTTGGAGGGCCACCATCTTCACATTGTCTGAAATACAGACTTTCCGGCTTGAGACGTATTTGAGATGCAACGTAAGAACCATCATCATCAATTGCTGTCTCTCTGGCTGGAGACGTATCCCAGATTCCGACGCAGCATCACCATCACTATCACTCTCATCACCATTGGAATGGCCGTGGTTGCCTTCGACGTCATGATCAACACGATTATTGCCAGATTCCTGCTCTCTTTGCTCCTGCGGCTCGTCGTCATCCTCCTCCTCCCCAGATTTCGACGTCATCCTCCTTACTCTGCCCAACTACCCTTCCTTCCGTGATTCTTCCACCTTGCCCTCGTGCTCATCACTGTCCTGCTCGTGCTGTTGCCGTTGCTTCCACTGCTGCTGTGGATGTTGCTGACGGCTCCCCTCCAATTTCATGGATACCTACCAAATGCCTCTCCGCCTCATCATCCGTCAGGGTCGCATCGGAGGCGCATCTGGGCCAGGTCACAAAGAGGATGAGCTTGACGTGCTGGGGCAGCTTCTGGAAGGTGATCCAGATGCACTCGTCGATACCAGACTTGCGTAGAGGGGAGGGGGAAGAGGAGACAGGACAGCTTTATGTTAGAAGCAGTTGGGAGCACAAATATCAGCAAGCTGATCTTGAGCCTCAGGATCGAAGAAGATCTCAGAACAGACCCGCCACTCCGAAAGACGCGAGGGTCTTTCCTTCCTTCTCAGACGCATGACTCAAGACTGGCCCCAAAAGCGCAACAGGGAGGAGTAGAAGGGGGGCGCCTGGATGAGAGGAGAGGGAGGAGGGACCAAATCATGGATGCCCCGCACCACAGCTGTTAAAAGGAAAAGCGCACGGGAAAGAAGGATAACTGGGAGGCACGTACCGTTTCGAACTTTCAGCTTGCATTTGCACCGGAATGTGCCCGAGGCTGTAGTGATTTGTATGTGCCTGCGCATCGTTGGTGCAGGCCGTGCTAAATAGTGGTACGGCATGGCCAGACTAGCAGTCGTCGGCAATCCGAAGACGGCACGACACTACTTCGTGACGCCGATGCCTGTTGCCCAGCCCCTGCGGGTGGAGCGGCAGACGTGGAGCGGTGAGCGGTGGAGGTGGATGTGCTCCGTGGGGCCCTGAATCAGTATCTTGGATCTGTACTGTACTGCACTACGCGGACGAGGCCGTCAATGCCGAACTCCCCAAGCAAAACACGGCTCAGGAGGCCCAGCCGCTTTGGGCTGACGAACCGCCTTTGGTCAACAAACTCTGCTGAGCAGGCAGTTGCAAGCCACATCGCGTGATAAGCTAGGCAGGGGCCGATCGCTCTTCCCACAGACAATCGAAAACAGAAAACTCACCAAGCTCCTCCCGAGTGACCTGTACCGCCCTCCGCGCATTCCGCACGAAAGAGACGAGGTCGGAGGGAGAGGGTGAGCACTGGCCAGAGACCGTCCAGCCCTCAAGCTGCTTCGCCCAGCTGGGGAAAAGTCCCTCCAGGAACCTCGACCGTTGCTGTCTGAGGTCCTTGGTGGGCGGATGCCTAGGACACCGGGCAGACAGGGAGAGGACACCTGGTCGGCCGTCGCCGCCAGGTGAGAGCCACGCCTCACTCGCCTGTAGCTGAGGTTTTCGGAGATGGGGATGGTCGTCACGCCCTTCGTCGTCTTCCCCTGTGGGGCCCAAAGGGCTCCATCCCCTGCGCCTTTGTTGGGGGGGGCAAACGCGCTCTCTCCGTCTTCTTGCCTTTCGGGCCCCGTTTTCCGTTCCATTCCACCTGGGCGACGAAGAGAAAAGGGTCTTACGTGATATGGCATAGCGACCTTACGCGGTGGCTTACGCAGGCCGCCGGCGCGGCACGTCACGTTGGAAACGACGGCGCCTGCGCCCGACCTTACGCGGGCAGCTTACGCGCGAATTTTGGTGCAGCCGAACCATTTTTTTGCGTCGGTCACCTGACCAGGCGTAGCCTCCTCACTTCAAGCAGCAAGAGGCCCACCCACTCAGCACCAGCCCTCCCCCTGCCTGCAGCAGGTTCGATCTGGGCGGCGGGCCCCATGACTGTTGTCCCAGCACGGTACGTAATACTGAGCCATGCTTTTAGAGTAGCTAGAGTACTCCATACAAAAAAAACGACACCCCGTAGGCACTTCAGCAACGAGATTGCGGGCTTGCAGGTTTCAGGTGGCGAATCCTCTCTACCACCCCCTACGAGGCCCAGTGTCTGCCTCTGGGCAAAAGCGCGGAGTAATGCCAGCTCTCCCAACCATGATTCAGGAAGGGCCAAGAGCAAGAAGCGGTTGCGAGGAGGTGCCCTTGGCAGCCGGGCTGTTGCTTCTCGGATGTTGGAAGTGGTCGAGGTCGAACCTCGACGAATGCGTGAAAGATAAGACGAGGCATCAACACTCGTCTAGTCGAGAAGCGAAATACGGTCTTCGTTAACGCGGGTGCAGTAAGCGTGGGATGACGAAGCGTGGACCTCTAGTGCACCTTTTGGGCCCGCGGTGGCAATTTAGGGTCCGTGTGGGGCCACTCTCCTGCAATCCTCGATCCCCCCACTTTCATTGCGCTCCCGCTGCTGTCCGCCCGAGGAAACAGGACATCACTACGCACCGGGCATGCGTCTGCTTCAAACCCATCACCGACTGGTCCGAGGATCTCACCCAGCAGCGCCCTGGCCAGCCTCCAGAACCCGCTCGAGCCCTTGCGGCGAGGATGGCCCCGCACAAGCAGGGGTAGGAAGCTGCATTGGGTCGGACTGGCACCTCCTCGGAGGGCAATGCTGGGGCTAGCAAAAGCTTCCGAGGTCTGAGTCCCAACGGGGATGCATGCGCGGCAAGAGCTGTGCTCATTGCTCGGGCTCCCCATGATTACGGATCGCCCCAAATCGGCTGGGTCACTCGCATCCCTCACCCCCGTTCCTCCCTGCTTTCGCTCCGCTCTACGACAACTACTTTCCAACCCTCACCCGATTCCACTCCGTTTCTCCTTCCGGCGATGCTTAGGCTGGCAACCGTTTCCGACATCCGAGTCCCAACGAGGATAAATGTAAGCCAACGTGGACCCCAAACAAAGAGCCATCACACTGTGGAGGTGGGAGCTATGTGGACTAAGCTATGTCGTGTTAGCTACGCTATGCTGTTTGAGCTATGTGTTGCGAGCTATGTGCTGTGAGCTATGTTGTGTAAACCATGTGTCATGTACGATATGCTATGTGAGCTATGTTGTACACGCTGTGAGGAGACATGCTGTACAGACCATGCGGTGTAAATTATGCGGTGTGAGCTATGCCGTGTGCGCTATGTGGTGGAAGCCATGCTGTGCAGGCTATGTGGTGTGAGCTATGTGATGCGAAGTATACGTGGTGCAACCTATGTGGTGTACGCTACGTGGTGTGAGCTACGTGAAGTGAGGTCCGCGGTGCAAGCTGTGTCGTGCACGCCGTATGATTTTCGCTGTGTCATGCAAGTTATGTGGCGTAAGCGCACGGGGCGCTCACGGGGCGCCCGCGACGGGTGTTGTCTTAGCTATGTGGTACCAGCGCATGGGGCGCCCACGATGCGCCCACGAACGGACACGGGCGCCACCACGCAGAGTCTTCGGGGCACCCCCCCAGCGCACGGGCCACCCGCGAGGCACCCATGGGGCTGAGGCGGGCACGCGGCGAAGCGGCGGGGCCACCCATGGCGCGGGGCGCCCACGAGGCGTCCGCGGGGCGGGCACGGGCGCCAACGCGGATGATGATCGGCGGAACCACCCAGGGCCCGGGGCACCCACGCGGCACCCACGAGGCGGACACGGGCGCCAACGAGGCGACACCTCGGCGGATCCACCCGATGCACGGGCACGGGCGCCAAGGCGGAAAGTCCTCGGCGGATCCCCCCAAGTACTTAAGCAAGCGAAGTAGGACCCCCTACGTGCAAGCACTGCTGGAGGAACGTGCGGTCTGAACTATACTTACTGTTCTGGCTCCCTTGATTACGGACCACCCCAGAAATTGGCTGGGTTGCTCGCATCCCTCACACCCGTGACTCTCTGCTTACACTTCGCCCCCCCCCCCCCCCCCCTGGTTAAGAATGGAAGCTGCTTTCGAGCCCAACCCGATGCCACTCTGCTTCCCCTCGCGGCGAACGCATAACTGCCTTGCCCCCGTGCGAGCCTCCCTGGGATCTGGCCCATTCGCGACTCTGCCCCTGCTCCCGGGCCCATCTCGAGCTTCTCCCGCCCCTCTCCGCTCGACCAATCTGGGGCCGGCCTTCTCCCCAGTCTGCTCGTCCCCCGAATGCGTGATGGAGGCCTTGAGCGCCTTGAGGTTATTGTAAGCCAGCGGCCCCGGTGTCAGGGCTCGTGGGCGGGGGCGACGGGCCCGGCTGATGCCCCCCCCTTCTGGGTGGCGCGCCACTCGGCGGCAGGGCGAGAGAAGCGGCCACATGAGAAGTCGGCTGCACGCAGTCGTGCCCCTCAAAAACAAGAGTGGCCTTCGGTGAGAGGCTTTCGGGGGCTGCGGGGAGGCCATATTCAAGCGCGCGGGACGGTGCCAGGGGTGGGGGGCCCTGGAAGCCCGCATTGAACGGTCACACGGGCGAAAGATAGCTCTTTTAGACTCCCGACATGGGTACGGAAAAACGTGGTACGTTCCCCCACAACTGTTGGCCAATATCTGCACTGGTGGGCAAGCGATCGACCGCGGCGACGCCGACAACAAATCCTGCTCAAAATGAGCAGGACGTTTTTGTTCTTCGTGCCCATCATTTCCGTACCCATTTCGATCGTAAACTCTTGCGCGGAGCCGCAGAAGGCTTGCAAGAACCTGGAGGGAGGGTTCCTGAGAAGCCCCCCTGCCTCCTCAGCAGGCCGCCTCCCTCGCGCAAAACCCTGTTTTGCCCGCCGCTGGTCCCTCCTCCGCCCCATTCGCCCGCCCGCCCGCGCACTCGCCCTGAGCCCTCCGCCTGCAGCCTGCCCTCACAGGGACCGACCGTCCCAGCGAGGGCAGGTTGCAGGCGGAGGGCTGAGGGTCCTCGAAAAGGCGCCTCTCCATTGTGGGCATTTCAGGCCCCGCCTAAGTTTCCCAACGAGGCCCCTTGAGCGGTGCAGAAGTTCCCAGAGGGCCTCGCGATCCCAGGAGGCTCCCAGGCTGCCCCACTCAGTTTCCAGCTGTATACCGAGGGCTCGGGAAGCCGCCAGAGAGCCCACACAGGATATCCAAGAGGGCCACATCAATCAACAACAAAACGCACTCTACCCAAACGTGTCTTTTTTTCTGGTCTGAAGTTTACATATTGGGTATCTTGGGTATCTTGGGTATCTAGGTTATCTTGGGTATCTTGGGCATGTATTGGGCATATATTGGGCATCTATGGGGCATATCTCGGGCATACATTTGGCATATCTTGGGCATGTCTTGGGCATAGCTCGGGCAGATCGTGGGCATATCTTGTGCATATCTTGGGCATGTCTTGAGCATACATTCGGCATATCTTGGGCATAGCTTGGGCACATCTTGGGCACATCTTGGGCCCACATTGGGCATATCTTGGGCATATCTTGGGCATCTCTTGGGCATAGCTTGGGCATCTCTTGGGCATAGCTTGGGCAACAATTCCATTGTTCGACCTTTCCGTTTTCAGTGCTCGACCTCTCCGCTTCCAGGGTTGGGAGCCAGCGTTTCCAGAGTTGCTGGTAGCTCGGATTTCCATGGTTGAGACCTCGTTTCTCGGGCTCGGAATTCAACCACTGTCCGGGCAAGACGCTCCAGGGAATATGCGGTCATGAACTGTTGCTTCACGCGTCTCGGCAACGGCCCTGGCGACACGGCCATGTCCTGCGAGCCGGTCGCGTGTCGCTCCGCTCCGCTGGGCGGGAGGCTGGGATGAGGTCAGGACGTTGAAGCTTTGAAATGGGGACGTGGGTAGCAGGTCGCGCAGGAGCGTGGTGGGCCTGAACCGACGGAACGACACGCTGAGCCGATTCCCCCCCCCCCACTTTGCCCCTGAGCCTCCTTCAATCCTGAATCCTTAAACCTGGGATCGCCTCCGCGACCCAAGTTTCGAGCCCCCCCGCGCGCGCGCGAAGCCGAGCGTGCGGCCGAGCGTTGACCCCAACATCATCGGTCGGATATGATCTTGCCCATCCGCGCCCCCAAGGGGCTCCCAACCTCTACCGCGGGGGGCAGCTTGGTGCATCGGAGTCGTCCTTGACGGCCCCGTGGAGCCCGAGAGCGGCCCCTGCGCCCGTTGACCTGACCCCCCCTCATGCGCCCCCGGGCCCCCTTCCCCCCGTCACTTCCCCGCCCTCAGGCGCCCGTCTGGCCGCGGCGGCGGATCCGCGCGGCTGCGCTACTGGATACACGGCGTCTATGATCTGCCCCTTGTCGTTCACCACCACGGCCTGCAGGTCAATGTCCACCACCGTGTGGCTCTCGTCCCAAGAGATGCCGACGCCGTACCTGCGCCCTCCCCCGCTGTGGGGGGAACGACGTGGGGATCCGGCACACGGGGGAGGAACATCGAGCTGGAATCGGCGATAGGCCTCCGATTGCGAAGCCGCGCAATCCTGGGCGGGGTGGGCTATCGGGCCCCCGTTGGCGATCAATGGGCGATTGGGGTCGATGCGTCTCCGCTTGGCCTATCCCAGTCCCCGATGGTCTCCGGGCCATAACTCGGGCCTGCGGGGGCCGTTCGGGCCGATCTGGGCCCCTCTGGAACGCTCACCCTCACGGCGATCCACCCGCGACTCACCCGCGATCCATCCGCGACCTCCCCGCAGGCCACCCGCGACCCTCCCTCGACCCACCCGCGACCCACGCCCGCGACCCACGCCCGCGACCCACGCCCGCGACCCACGCTCGCGACCCTCCCTCGACCCTCCCTCGACCCACCCGCGACCCACGCCCGCGACTCACGCCCGCGACCCACGCCCGCGACCCACGCACACTGAACTTTTGAAGTCGCCGCCTGCGGCGGGCTGGTGGTGCTGAAAAGAAAGGTCGGCGCCTGTGGCGGGCTTCTTGGCTTTCGAAGTCGAGTGACCCACCCACATTGCTCTGCACGTGACGCCTGCAGCGGGCTGATCAGGTCGGAAGAATCGGCGCCTGCACCGATCCAGCTGCCCACCCCGATGATCCTGCACCAGTGCTGCACGCAGATGCGACACATTTCGGTTGTGCCTCGCCCAGCGCAGACCTTTCCCCCTCAGCGCTGCCCTCGACCCTTCCCCTCTCCCCCCTCCATCCCCCGACCCCTTTAGCCCCCCTCTCATTCGAGGGAGCGTCTGTGGAACTCACGTCATCCTGAACCCCGGCGCGCAAGAAAGTCGCCTCCCAGCGCCTCCCCAGGGGACCATTTCCGGCGCTGCGCCGGGCGTGTCCCCATCCGGCGCTCTCGCTCGAGACATCCTCGCAACATCGCCCCACGGGCCCCCAGCGCACCCCCAGGGGACCCTTTCTGGCCCTCCTGCTCCACATTCTCACCTGGCCCTCCTTCTCCACATCCTCACCCTCCTGCTCCACGCTCGCCTGATCCTCACCCGCGTGACCCTCACTCTCCTGATTCCCCCCTCGCGAGCCTCGCCCTTCTGATCCTCAGGCTCATTCTCCTCTCGATTATTTGTCTCTCGCCAAGAAGCGTCGCCCGTTCTCCTATATACAAGAGATCGTCTCTTTTAAAATCAGCGATAACCCGGGTTATCCTGGGGGGGAGGAGGGGGCCGGCCGATAACCTGACCCTCGCGCTGTGGGCAGCCCTGCATATGCCCGCGCCCCCCCACCCCGGACCTGCACAACCTGCAAGGTTAGGTTATCCTGGGAGGGGGGGGGAGGGGGGGCAAACCCGATAACCCGGGCTATCGCCGGACCCTAAAAAAACAGTCTCCAGAAACTCCCGATCAACCGCAGAGCGGCTGGCTAGTAATTAATCACTGCCCCTCCCCCCTCCCCTATCACTCCCCTCCCCCTCCCCGACCTTTCTTTCCTTGCACTCTCATCGCCCGTCTCCCCCGAAGCCTCCGTAAATAACAGTCCCCAGAGATGTGGCGAGCGGAGCGCGCCAGGGGCGGCGCCGTGGGCGCCTCCAGGAGGGTCCCAGCCCCTATCCGAGGAATCCGCGCGGAACTCCGACAGTGTATTTATTACATTCGTTCTGATTCGATTCATTATCGAACCTCCTCCCTCCCTCCCTCGATTCGAAAGCCTGGACGCTCGAAGCTTCTCCTGGCTTCAAACCAGCTCTGAAGACCTCGGACCTGTTAGTTTATGTCGAGGCACCTAGAAATATCTTGCTCTGACCAGCACCGCCGATCTCAGGGGAGATCTACGGTGAGGAACTTTTACTTTAGCGTGCCGCGGCGGCGGCCCCCGCGAGACGCTATGCCCTGCAAGCGGGTAGCGCGTCGTTCCGCTCCGCGGGGCGGAGTGCTGGGACGAGCTCAGGACGGTGACACGTAGGGTCTGGGACGCGATTGGCGTGCCGCGCCGAAGAGTAGTGGGCCAGAACCGGCAGAGCGACACGCTCAACCAACGCTCCTGACCGCACGGCTGGCGAGGAGCAAGAAATGGATGTCTGGGGCTACCTCCTAGGCGTGCGACGATCGGAGGTTGGGGGGTGAGATCGCAGTGGTACGGAGACCGCCAACCAGGAAATCGTTTCGTTGCGTTCGTGTCGTGCGTGCGGGCGAGGCGAAGCTGCGTGGGCGCGCGAGAGGAATGAACCCGCCGTTGCGAGGGCGAAGTCAAGACAAACGATTATCCTCCGTCCGTCCGGCGGTGGCCCTAGCGGTGTCCCGTGGTGTCCCGTGGTATCCGCCGTTGCTAGGGCGAACTCAAGACAAATGATTATCCTCCGTCTGGCGGTGGCCCTAGCAGTGTCCCGTGGTGTCCCGTTGAGTGAGATCGATGGTGATATTAGTGAGATCGGCAAGTGTCCCGTGGTGTCCCGTTGAGTGCGATTCGATGTAGTGCCCCGTGGTGTCCAAAAAAATGAAATCGATGGTGAGATCGATAGTGAGATCGACAGGTGTTCCGTGGTGTCCCGTGGTGCCCCGTTGAGTGAGATCGATCGTGAGATCGATAGTGAGATCGATCGTGAGATCGGATGTGGTGTCCCGAGGTGTCCCGTGGTGTCCTATGGTGTCCCGTTGAGTGAGATCGAGAAGGAGATCGATTGTGAGACCGACAGTGAGATCGAGAGGTGTCCCGCGGTGTCCCGTGGTGTCCTGTTGCGTGAGATCGACAGTGGGATCGATTGAGCCAGATGTTGGTTCCCCCCCTCTCCCGCCCCCGACAACCCCCTTATCACCCGAAGGGTGGTCGTATATGTACGCATGTTTTTCTCCATCCGCGACCCCAGAGGTCTCGGCTCCTTCCCTGAGGGCACTTTCTCTTCCTGGACCCATGTTTGACGGTCCTGGGGCCGCCAACAGCCCCAGAGGGCGGAGTCGAGGAACAAGGCTTGGGTTAAATCAGCGAAGTGCCACGCGGCGCCAAACTTCCTGCCCGATGCCACCCCAGACGCTGACCCTGAGCCCCCTTTGGCCCGAGCCCCGGATCGCGCCCGAGGCGAGCCCCCGGGCGCGGGCCGAGCGCGGACCCATGCCTCCTCTGAAGTGACCCTGTCCATCCGCGATGCCACGGGGCTCCCAGCCGCTCCCCCGAAACTCGTGGGGGGGGACGCACGTCTCTGGATCCGCGGCCTCACGGGCCGGGCCCCTGGACCGCGACCCCGCGGACACAGGGCGCATTGTTCGCGGATGCCCCGCGGAACGTCTCCGTGCGACCGCGTGTGCGCCCTGGAATCCAGACCGCGGGGGCGCAGATACGGACGTGTTCGCTGGTCGTGAAAGAGAGAGAGAGAGAGAGAAAAAAAAAAAGAGAGAGTGAGAGAGAGAAAGAATGGCAGCTTTGCGCCACGGATTTGTTCTTGATTGCTGGCCCCGACCAGGTTTTGAGGGCGACCCCCCCAGGCCGGAACGAAGGAAACGCGCCATAACTGACAACATCCTGTTGTCGGAAGCCAGGCGGAACCTCAGACGAAGCCAAGACCCAGACAAGGTCGGACCTGGATGAGATCCCAGAGCACTCTTGAGCGCGCTTTGCCGGGCGAGGTCGCCCCGCCAGGTTGACCCCCGCCGCCCGAACCCAGGCGTGCGGCGCCGCGCTTCTGTTCGCAGATTGGACCCCCGAAGGTGTACAGTCCACCCATTTAATATAGGGATGCGCGGTAAGGATGCAAGGGCCTTGGGCGCCCATGCCGAAGCTCTCCGAACGGGGCTGGCCATCGAGAGTGGCCGGTATGAGTGTGAGTGTGGTGTGGGTGTGGGCGTGGGTGTGGGTGTGGGCGTGGGCGTGGGCGTGGGTGTGGGTATTGGTGTAGGTGTGGGTGTGGACGTGGATGTGGGTCTGGGTGTGGGCTCGGGTGCGGGCGTAGGTTCGGAGGACGGACCGGGAAGATGGCCAAAGAGGCAAGGGTGCAAAGACAACCCGTGGGAAATCGCTCGCCAACGTTGTCTGTAGACCCCTCCCCCAGGTCCCGCCTGTCGTCCCGAGCCGCTGTTATGCGCCCAGGCTCTCCCCGGCGCCCGAAGGCGGCCCACAAACCTTCCGCCGTGCTCTTATCACGACGCGAGCACGGCCTGGAGGCGAGCCCCCGCGCGCGGCCGAGCGTGGACTTGGACGCTCGGAAGGGGTGCAGTCGCACAGAGGACAGAAGAACATTCTCCAACAGTTATTTTGCGACGCGCGCGCTAAGCGGTCGTGGCGCCGCGCGGCGGCGCCCAACGCCTCGAGAGGCGGTGCCCGGCTCAGGCGAATGCACCTAATTGGGAGGGGGCGGGGGGGGGCGCCATACACGACCCGCACAAGGGGAGTGCAGGACTGCGCGTGTGACGGGTAGCTACCCGTCGCAGAGCATCCTTCACGAACCTGAGACCAGCCGCTGGCCAAACTGAAGAACATTCGAGGGCACCCTCCCCCAGTATGCACAAGAGCATCCAACAAACACGAAAAACATTAGTGAACTCTCCTCAAAACGACCTCGATCTTATATCTCGGTCCGACCGTACGGGAAACGTTGGCACGACGCCCAATAGCAGATGTTCCCCAAAACCGACAGCGGCCGATTCTTGGCAGGCGGCTGTCTGCCTCAAGTGGGCCACGTCCGCGGCGACATCGACTGTGAGTCCTTTTTCAAAATGAGAAAGTACTGCTGTCGATCTTCGTACCTGCCTTTCCGTACCCATTTTGGTCGTACCCGCTTTTCATCCCGAGTAGCTTTGCTAAGGGCCAAGGGCTTCCAGAGTCCGAAAACTGCCCAATACCGTCCGTCGTGACAGTTCCAGTGCGAGCACCCACAGATCCGACGTCTTGTATTTGTTCAGCGCGCGGTCCCTGGAAGTCCCGATCCTTTCCCCGGGACCGGTCTTACATCCTGCATACTGTGGTCACGGTGCTGGGGCCCTGCGGGGGCCCCCAGAGGCCGAACACGACGAACAGCCTCGGTAAATTATTGCTCGATGCGCCGACGGAGGTCTGCTGAGGTCTGGCTTCGCCACGCGAGGGACGCGTAGCCGCCCCGATGCGCAACATGCAACCCGTAGCGTGTTGGCACGGAGCTCAACACGCAGACTGAAACCGTACGCTTGGCGCGCCGCGGTCACCGACACGCGGAGCCCACAGGCGCCGAGCCCACACGCGGCGTGGTAACACGGACGCTCCGAGCACGGCACGCGCTGCGTTGCCAGACGGGCGTGCCAGGGCAGCAGGGTCTGGGCGGGCCCTCGCTGCTGAGCGTGGAGCCCCCCCCCTCGCGCCCAGCTATGTACATGTACATGTACGTCCTTCTTTCGCTCCTGACCCCCCCTGGAGGGGCGCCTCTTCACGCTCGGGCCCACCTCGAAGGCGGACCCCGCGGCGCCCGGCGGCATGCGGCGGGCGAGGTCGTCCGACGGCCGGGGCCCTCCCAATACCAGGGACTGCAGTGGGTGCGGGTTGCGAAGGGTGCGGTCTGCCTCCCGTCTTTTATCTGCCCTTCCCGCCCCCGGGAAACGGATGACACCGTCACTCAATGCGACCGAAGCACATGACACTGTCGCTCCATCTAGTACAAGGGAACATACATCGAGGAGGACGGTGTCTCTCGAAACGACGACAGTTATGACAGTGTCTCTCACAAAGGCCCCGGAAAGGCCGCCACAAAGCAACTCGCAAACCGCACCCCGGCGTAACCGCACCGATTGTAGTCGCAGGACCGGGACCAGACTGCTGGCCGGGACTGCTGCGAGCCGGGACCAGACTGCTGGCCGGGACTTCGGCGGCGAGCCCCCGGGGGGCAGCTTCGGGCTCGAGGCTCGAGGCTCGTCGGGAGGCTTCGGTGGCCCTCGGCGGTTGCCTGGCCTCGGGGTGCGTTCCTGCGGCTGCGCCTCGCCGAGGGCGCTCCAGGGGTGTGCGGATCGCCCCGAACGGCCGCCAGAGAGACCCGACTCCAAGCCAAGCTCGGCGGCGCGCCGAGGGCGGGAGCGAGAGGGGGCAGGCCTTCTCGGAGGGCGGCGGGGCTTCTCACAAGAGCGTCGCGCCTTCGGAGAGGTCTTGGAAGCCGTGTCCGGAGACAGAAGAGTTCTCGCATGGCGCGGGGGCTTCCGAAAGCCACGCCGCCTTCTGCGAAGGCCCGCCCCCCCTCACTCCCCCCCTGGGCTCACCGCCGAGAAGTCCAACGGCGGCAGCTGTCCCGGGCGCGCTACAGTCCTGGCTGATCAGAGTCCCCGTTTAACTTGCCATCGCTCGGACGTCCATTCCCCGTGCCCTTGTTGGTTTCGTGGGCTTATTTTTCGCAAGATGATTAAGGATGCTTCTCGATGGTCCTCGCGGAGAAAAAATGCACACGTCCGAGCGATGCCAAGTTTAATTGGGAGGGCCCTGAGGAGGCGCGCCCCCCGTGGGGCGGGGCGGATGGCAGCGGGCCTCGGAGGCTTCCAGGAAGTGGGACCCTGGCCCGGGGCTGGGCCCTGAGATCCCGGCGCTGCCATTTTTGCACGACGGGCGTCCTTGCACAATTTCGGGTCGATCGGGCTCGAATAATGGCGCAGAAAGATGCGGTCTGGGGCTCTTGTCGCAATTTTTCGCGATGTTGTAATTTACGCGTCGTCGGATCTCAGGGAAGGTGGCCCCGGCTCTTTCGGAGGTTCCGCAGCGGTGCGGTGACACACCGAGCGGTGACCTCAAAGTCCCAAGAAACCTCATCGCACGTTCGGCCACCGCACCGTTCTGGGACCCTGGACGCCCCAGTCGCCCGAGGCATCCTCGGAGAACGACCCGAGTCCCGAAACCGCGCGGTCATGCCCAGTGCCCACTGGCTCACCACACGGTGTGGTCACTGCACCGTTTGCCCCCCCCCCCCCCCCCCGATCTCTTCTTCAGGGAGGCCCCATCGACTCACCGCTCACGTAAGCCTAAACTTTCGGAGGTCCGCGCGGGATTGTCGGATCGGCGTTGGGCCCCCTCCCCGGCGCGCGGACGCGCCAGGGGCGGCGCTGGAGGCGCCGCCAGAGGGTCCAGCATCGATCCAAGAAGCCCGCGCGAACCTTCGAAATTGTATGCTTACGCATTTTGCTCCTCCTCGGAAAGTGTGTCCCCCAGCGCTTCGTGCCATCCTGAACCGCCAGTGGGGGGCCTCCTGGGCCCCCCCCTGGAGCTTGCTGGGGCCAGTGGCGACAGGAGCGCCTATAGGGACCCAAAGCTCAAGAGTCGCTTCTCCAGGAACCTCTCCCGTCCACTTCTCGGAACATCCGCCAGAACACATCGCGGACCCCAAACTCGATCGGAACTTTTGCTTCGCGTGCCGCGGCGGCGGCCCCGGCGACAACCTACGCCCTGTAGGCCCATACCGTGTCGCTCCGCCCCGCGTGGCGTGAGGCTGGAAAGAGTCCGGGGCGATGACGCTCGGGGACTGGGACGTGGCTGGCGCGTCGCGCCGAAGCGTGGTGGGCCAAAGCCGGCACAGCCGACATGCGAAGCAACCGTTGCTGATCGCACAGCTGGTGGAGGGCAAGAACCAGATTTCCGGGGCCAAATCCCAAGACTTCCGACGATCTGACTTTTGCAATCCGCGGCCTCGGAAGTCCCGATCCCTTCCCCAGGGACACTCTTACGTCCGGGGCCCACTTCTGATTGTCCTAGGGCCTTGTGACCGCCTGAAAAACCGACATCGAGGAAAAACGCTTGGATTGAACAACTCATGTCGTCAAAGATTTAACAGGGGATATGTCGACCCCTATCCCAGGCTTCGCGGGGTTTCCGAATGGGCGAGAAATTTGGGCCCCTACCCTGGGATGTACGATGGGGGGTGTCCATCCTCGATAAGGGATGCGTCCGAATAGCCCCCTTGGGGTGTATCCCAGGGTTTCCCCCTTTTTCTGAGCGGCCAAACTTTTCGGGCGAAGCTCGGGGATTGGGGGATACTCCAGATTTCGTAATAAAAGGGAGGGGGTCTGGACCCTCCAAGACCAGCCATTTCAGACCTCCCCCGTGGGAGAACCCTCCAAAACACCGTCCCCAGACCCCCCCAGGCCCTCCAAGATAGCATGGAAGAGACCCCCCCCCGAAATGAGACCCCCCTCCCTTTATTACGAAATCCGGGGTAAACACCGCCCGCGAATAGAGGGCTTTCGGGTCTTAATTTCGAGCCTCTGGCGGCCGTTCGGGGCGATCCTGTCTCGCCCAGACCGCCCTCGACGAGGCGCAGCTGCTGGAAACAACCCCGAAGCTGGAACGCCTTCGGGAACCCACGACAACGCCAGAAAACCGTCCACCTCGAACGTCCGAGAAACTTCTCACGCCCAGCTTGGACGACCGCCGGGATCGAAAGAACCAGATCGTCGGACCGAGTCGGGCATTCTGGGCTCAGGCCAGGGCCAGCTCTGGCAGCGTCCGAATCGAATGACCCGCCCTAGAAGCACCCCGGCCGCTGCCGGCCCACGGGCGGACGGGGCGCGCTGCCGGAGTCGGCCTGGGAGGGCGCCGTCTGCGCGCGCGGGAGGAGGAGGACCAGAGCAAGCCTTTTTTGGGGCGCGGGGGGCAGAGTGGGAGGAGCACGGGGGAGGAGGTGGGTGGGGAGGAGGGCCAAGACCAAGACCAAGAAACGGCAGGGACGAGTTCGAGTCAGAATGAGAAGCACAAGTTCGGAAGGCCTACCTAGGCCCAACAAAACTACGGTCCCTGCGTGGGGGCATAGCCCACGAAGGAGGAGGGGAAGGAGGAGAGGGAGGAGGAGGAGGAGGAGGAGGAGGAGGAGGAGGAGGAGGAGGAGGAGCCCAGCGTACCAGGAGGATCCACTGCTCCTGCCTACCCCCTGCGGCGCGCCTCGTCGGGCGGCGGCGGGCGGGGCGCGCCATTGACGGCCGCGTCGGCCAGCTCGGTGCCGCCCGCGAAGAGGACGTCGCGAGCGGCTCTTTCAATCAGGCGGGGCGCGATGGCGCCAGCGAGAGATGGTACAAGCGATGAGCTCGATGGGTCGAGCGACGAAAAGACATCGGGAAACATGACAGGCACAAACGCGGAGGAAGGGGGAGCAGGCGGGGGGCAAGCAGAGGCAGGGGCAGCACTCGGGAGCGAAGGACGGGTGGGGGGAAGGTCAGCATCGAGAGTGGCATGACAGGTCAGCTCTGGCACGGCTGAGAAGGGCGACGCGCGAGGGGGGGGGCGGGGCCTGGGCGGCCTGCAGAAGAGCGACGGACGTGCGAGGGAGAAAAGATAAAACAGGCTGCTCATTTTCGGAAGCACACTCAGAGGGCAGCGGTGGGGGCGACGCCAGAGCCGTCGGCGACACCGAAGGGGGGCGCGACATCGGAGAGCACGTGGCCATCGGTGCTGGGGAGCGCTCTGATGCCGGGGTCGATGAGCGCGTCGATCTGCGAGCAGCCACCAAATTCCCAGGATTTCGTCCGACACGTGGCGACTGCGAGCCCGAACACGACAACGGGACTTGCGATCTAACGCCGTCGGACCAGCGTCCCGAATCACGGCAACATTCTTGTGGCGACGGCGAGCCCGAACACGACAACGGGACTTGCATTCTAACGCCACGGGAGAGATGCTCCCTGTCGAGGCATCGTACATGTGGCGACGTGTAGCCCGAACACGACAACGGGACTTGCGATCTAACGCCTGGGCCCAGCTGGGGCGTCACGAGGCATCCAGCACATGGCGACAGTGAGCCCGAACACGACAACGGGACTTGCGATCTAACGCCGATGGGAGGCGACGAGGCATACGAACCCGTAGACGACAGCGTCACTGGTGGGGAGGGCGTCACACAAGAGGAGGGCGAAATTGGGGCCGGCGGCGAAATTGATGAGCAGGCGGGCGCCATCCGTGAAGTTCTCGAAGTCATTGATGTAGATGGGGCCGCCCTCAGAGTTGATGGGGAGCGCGCCGTCGACGGGGGCGCGGAGGAAGGCGGGGGGGAGGTCGCCGAAGCCGAAGGAGAGCACGTAGCTGGCGGTGTCGCTGGAAGCTGAGCTCATCATCAGCGTCGGAGTCCGACGGGATCGTGGCGATGGCTGTGGAGACGGTGGCCGTGTCGCTGTCCGACGACGAAACGGCAGGAGTGAGCCGTGGAGACGACCCCGAGGATGAAGATGACGAGGAACTGCGAATGAGGTAGTCCCGTCGGCCGAGCTGCTCGCGGTCGATCTCCGAGCACTTGAGCGGTGACGCGAGCTGCATCGAACGTACACCAGCGAGAGCACAGCTGCGGAGGAGGGGCGGGGACAGGGGCCACACGGGGGCCAGCCTCGCTTCGTTGTACATGCTGTATGCGGCAGCCATCGCCGAGAAGGTGGCCAGCGAGGGTTCAGAAAGGCCCCATCTTGTCATCCACGGGAGCGGGAACGGTCTCGCGAGAGCCTGCCGAAGGGCACGGTGCATGACAGGGCATCTCGCGTAGTGCCTCAACGAGTCGAGTTTGCCTAGACAACCAAATACGCAGTGCTTCTGGCCGTCAGGTGAGATGATACGGGCCGAAGTCATCCAGCCATCAGACCAAGTGCGCAGGACGGCCATGGCCCACGAGCACGGGCAGCGGGCGAGGACGCTCTTGCACTCGCCCCAGTCGATGTTCGGAAGGAGGCCCGCCGACCTGCCAGCGAACTTCCTCAGGCGGAGCACGAAGAGGTCAGTGATGGGCTTGTTCAGCATCGCAAAGGCCCGCAGCGCTTCGTGAGCAGCTCTCTGAGGTCGAGGACGAGGTCGGCCGCTCTCACGAAGTTCAGCCAGCGCAGCGTCGGCAGCACGAGCACCAAAGACGGCCAGCGGGCCAGGGGGAGGGGTGCCAGCGGCGGCCAGCGCCAAATTCTCCACAAAGGCAGGGGCCAACCAGAAGGACGGGTACGGCTTGCCGGTCGCCAGCATGGACAGGGTGGCATCGTACGGGGCGGAGCGCGCGTGGTCCCGCAACTGCTGGAGGAGCCTCTCCCAGCCTGGGAAAGTGTGCAGCGCAGCTCGAGTGATGGTGGCGACGGCCAGGTGCCCCCACCGCGTGCAGCGCGGGCCGCCCCACTGAGCGATCTGCGTCCAGAAGTCGAGGGCGAAAGTGCCGAGCGGGATGCGGAACACCTGCGCGAGCGTCGCCAACTCAGGCTGCAACACTGACGATGGCGGCCAGCAGAATTGGGCAACGTAAGATATGGTCGTGACGGCCCGAGTATTGCACAGTGTAGCGGAAAGGCTGGCAGGAGTGGTTCCCCGCCCGATGGCTTGGGCCCTGAGACGCAATTTGGCGACGGGGTCAATCCAACAAGTGGACGGAACAACAGCAGGCCCCAGCCAGAGGCCCAGGTAGAGCAGCTTGGGAGCCACCTCGAACGAGCTCCACTCGGGGACCAGATGGGAGACCCAGAAGGAGACTGTGGCTGAGAGGTCGGGCGAGAACCTGTCAGACAGCGGGACAATCTTGCATTTCGAGACCTTCAGGGCGAGGTTGGCCATGTCCGAGGCCATCTGCATAACCCGATACACATGAACTAGGTGCCGTATGGCCAATAACGTGCCCCCAATGTCGTCAGCACAGGCCCGAACCAGGCCAAGGCCAGCGGCCTCCACCCGAGAGGCCAGGTCGACCAAGAAGACAGCCGTACTCAACGCATAGAGAGTGCCCGATAAGGCACAACCTTGGATGATGCCGCTCTGGATCCAGAAGATGTGCACTAGCGAACCTAGGTGCGAGACAACCCCTTCCACCGATGCATATAGGAACGTGACGAAGGACACGAATGCTTCGGGCAGCTTGAGGGCCCTAAGGGAGAGAATGAGGAAGTCCTGATTCAGAGACGGGAAGGCCTGGCCGAAGTCCAAGGAATACAGCACGGGGATATCGGTAGACCCGTGAGGTACGACCGACATCTGACGACTCGACACGTCGAGCTCGAGGATGTTGTTGCCGAAATTCCTACCCGGTATGAATCCACGCTGGCACGGCGGGGCGAGGGATACCAGGGCAGGTCGGATCGCCCGATTGACGGTGGATGAGATGAGCTTCAGGTCACAGTTCCTGAGGCCCAGGACTCGAACCTTGTCGGGGGAGCGGGAACAGCTGGCATCGCGGAGCTCCAAGTCCGTGACGTTTTTGGGCAGAAAAATCTGGATCGTGTCACTAGTATTCGCATATAGTTCTTGGCCCCTGAGTACCCAGCCAAGAGCGTCCCATAATATGTCAGCCCCCCAAGAGGACGCCGCCCACGCAGCATACGGGAGAGCGTCAGGCCCAGGAGCGGAGTGTTGGGCAGACCGAATTGCTCGACGTAGCATATTTTTCGACGGCGGGGGGAGGTGTAGGTCGGCAGGAAGGTCAGGAGCAAGGCGGCGAAGGTAGGGAGCAGCAGCAGCAACGTCCCACGGCTTTTTCTGGAAGACAGGGGCCCAGTGCTCCGAGAGCACCCGCAGGCGGTCAGAAGGAACGCTGACCGCAGAGCCATCTGGCGCAATAACCGCTGAGAGCGATATCCTTCGGTTGAGAGGGGACCAGAGACGAGCGCGCCGTTCAAGCGCACGAACCTGGGCGCGAATCTGGGCGCGGTCACCTTCGCGCCGTCTGCGATCCTCAAGTTCAGCCTTCGCGGACTCAGCAGCCTCAGTCTGGACCTGGTCGACCCAAGCCTGGAAGGACGGCGGGTGGCGGAGCTCGACCTTCCCGTCGGTAATCGATATCATGTCAATGGCCAGGGGGTGGGAGTCCTGGAGCCCGGCAGCCATGCGCAGGTCTTGCCTCCAAACCACACGGGCCAGAGCACGAGCGAGCAGGAGGCAGGTGTGCGGGTGATGCGGCCTGTCCCGAAAGAGGGTGTCCCTGGTCTCCGCGGCCGAAATCTTCAAAAGCTCCTTGTACTTTTCAACCTTGAACGGGGGCGACATGGAGTCCCACGGGATGCAGGAGCATAGCCCCTCCAGGCGCCGCTTGAAACCAGGCTCCGAGAACAGGTGTTTGGGAATGGGGCGGGACTCCACAGGTCGAGGCGGGCGGCAGGCGAGCGAGAGAACAACGGCAGCATGGTCAGAGATCTTTTTGTCAAAGACAGCCGCCGGCGTGCCAAGCGTGCCAATCTGGACATGCAACTGGCAGAGCTGCCAGCCCGTGATCGAGCAGAAGACGCGGTCGATCGTCGCGCACGAGTCGTTGAACTTCTCGTAGTGCGTGGGGTCCTCGCACGCAATCTCGGTCAGGAGGGCGAGGGCCTGGCGCCACTTGGGCGCCTGCACGTGGTGGCACTTCGACAGCTTGCGCACGGCCGCCGCGGGGGCAGTGAGCGCGAGAGCCTCGTGCGTGGCAAAATTGAAGTCCCCGAGGACAAAGGTGGTGTACATGTCGGGGTCGAGGGCAGCAGCGCGTTGCGATACTCGCATCGCGGCAGCCACTTCGCGAACTTGCTGGGCGGACAGACCATGATTGTGAATGTTGAAGATGTCGAGCGTGCGGCAGTCATCCCAAACACGGACTAGCATCGCTCGGCCAGGTACCAGGACAGTGGAGGATGACGACGGAGCGGAGAAGCCCTGACAAGCCAACGGCGGGAGCACCACAGCAACCCCACCCCGCCGATGCCCGTCATCTGCGTCGGAGATGAAGCTGGAGTGGATCGCGAGGCCTGACGCGATCGATCTGAAGAACGAGTCGAGCTGGAAGTGGTCCTGGTGCACCTCCTGCAACGCGATGACCGTGGAGAGGGGACGAAGACTGAGAACATACTTTCTCTTCAGAATGGCTTTGTCCCCACCAGCCTGAAGAAGTGCCCGAGAATTCCAAGTAGCAATCCGAAACGTAGGCGCCGCTGACCCAGGCGGCGGGGTAGGAAGATGAAATAGTCCAGCAGCGCTAAAGACACCACTGGCTGGGGTCGGACGGGTGCGTGAGCTCCTTGACAGCATTGCGAAGCGTGTCGATAGCCATGGCGTGCTTGGCAAGCTGCGCGGAGTCCCAGTAGATCTTGGGCGGGGTGTCGCCGTGGAAGACATTGACGTGCATGATCTTGTCCCACCCAATGGAGAGGACGCCATGCTCGCGGTCGGAGTAGAATCGCTTGCCAGGGTATTGCAGCTCGACGATCGCCCTGGCCTTGCGCAGGGTGACCTCGGTCTTGATACGCTTGGGCGACTTGTCGGGGCCCAGGTGCAAACGGCAACGCTCGGCGCCTGGAGGGTCGACCCAGAACTCTTTCCAGCCATCGGGTCCCTTGAGGAGCGAGGTGGTCTTGCTGGCACGGCGCGAGGCGATGGTGGCCGAGCCCGAGAAGCAGATCTCGAACTTCCTGGCCGGGGACTCGCCCTTCTGCTTGATCTCATACTGTTCATCATCAAAGCCAATCTCGCCGAGCCACGGGCGCAGCGATGAGACCACTGATGCCAGGGTAGTCGGTCGCTGCGAGACGGCAACGACGATCGTGGTGTCCTCCTCGCGGTCGAAGGAGGTGGGAGCAGCCAGCTGCTTCCTGGGTGTCTGTTCAGCGACGGCCATCTGACGACGTAGCTCCGCCAGCTGGTCTTGAAGATCCTGGATGGACTTGTCATGCTCGTCAGCTCGGCCCTCCAGCGCGTCGATGCTGCGCTTCTGCTCGTCGAGCTGGGCTTGGAGGCGCCTGTTGAGCGAGTCGAGCCTGGGGGCAATCGCCGATTGAACCTGGCCCTCGATGGCACTGGATTGTTTTGCCACCTCGCCCTGCATGGAAGACAACATCTTGAGCAACGTGTTGTGATTGGAGGTGATGGTCTTGGCGACAGACTCTGACACCTCGGTGGTGATGGTGTCGCGCATTGAGGCAAATTCCTCTCTGCACAGCTGCCGAAGAAAGTCACCATCATCATCGTCATCATCGTGAGGAGAGGGAACAGGAGCACCGGCACTGGACGAAACGAGGGCCTGGCGCTTGCGCTGGGTGAAGCGGCCCGCCCCCTGGCCTTTGCCAGAGCGCTCGCCGTCGGGGAAGGTGGGCATCTCTTCGAGCTCAGCAAGCATCTGGCGCTCCTGGGTACTGGCAGGCGCGGCAGGGACTGCATCAGCCATGAGACGCACTGGAGGTGGGAGTGTCCGCCAGCCTTTGACAGCTGGGTGGCCCTGGAAGAAGGGCTGCCTCACTCAAAACGGGCCTGTCCCGATCTTGAGCCAAAATGGCAACGGAGGAGGAGGAGGAGGAGGAGGAGGAGGAGAAGGAGGAGGAGGAGGAGGAGGAGGAGGAGGAGGAGGAGAAGGAGGACAAGAGTAAGCCCAGGGTGCATTTACGATGCTGCAATACACCCTCCGGTCCCAAGCCCCCTCCTCACAAGTCCCTACACACCTCCCTTTTTCCATGCAGGATGCAGCCCCCTTGAAACGAATATGCGCGTCGCTCAGGCGAGAGCCCTATTGTGAAAAGGACCCTCCCTCAATCCTGTAAGCCGCTGCAAACTGTTACAACGCGTGCGCGGTCCAACGAGCCGCATTTTGAAAGCCATCCGCCCTCCATCCTTGAAGCTTTTGCGAACTGCCAAAACGCGCGTCGCTAAAGCGAAAGCCGCATGTCGGAAACAGGCGGCACTCCATGCTTGAACCGGTTGGAGATTCCAGCTACAGGGAGCGTAGGACCTGCGAGGGAGGCTCAAGCGAAACGCCATGCCTGGCCTGCGGACCCGCCTGGTGGTGCGACACATGGGGGAGGTTTTTCCCAAGGAAGAGGGATGGATGAGGAGAGGGGCAGGAGGAGGACGACGCCGGTAGAAAATGACTCCAAGTTGCCCGAACTCACAATGTAGTGAAACTCTTTTTCTTCGGGCTTCTTCGTTCAGTTCCCGAACGCTCCTCAGCCTCGGGATGCTCTGCAGCAGCCTCGGGAAGGGGGGAGGGGGGGGGGAGGGTAGAAGGGAGAAGGGAGGAGGGGAGGGGAGGGGAGGGGAGGGGAGGGGAGGGGAGGGGAGGAGGGGAGGGGAGGGAAGAGGAGGGGAGAAGGGCCCCCCCCTAGGCTACGCCCCCCCCCCCTAGGCCCCCCCTAGGACAACAACAACAAGACGACGGCGACGGGCAAGCAGGGCTGCTCGCGGCGCTCGGGAGCACGCGGGGGGGCCAGCCGCCCGCCGCGCGGTGGGCCTTCGTGGGGGCTTTGGCCCGGCCGGTCTTGTCGTCGAAGTCGAACTTCTCCTGGGGGCGGGGCCCTACGGTCGGACCTAGACAGAAGAACATCCTTCAAGAGCACGAGACCCTCCGCTTGCCAAAACACCCCAAGCCATCAGATCACTCGAAGGTGCCCTCCCCCAGGATGCACAAGAGCATCCAACAAGCACGAAAAACACTAGCGTACCCTCCCCGAACCGACCTCGATCTGATACCTCGGTCCGACCGTAATTTGCTACCCCTCCTCTTTGATCGAGGTCCTCCAGGATAGCCCCAATATGACCCCCAGGGCTCCCAAGAGTGCTCAAGGAGAGCCCCCAAAGGCGCCAAGGTCGACTACGCGCAAGAGTGACCCTGGGTGAGAGTGACCTTTGCTGCGCGGCTTAACGGGGACCGCGGGGTAGCCAAACCCGTGAGCTCAAGCCGCTTCCACCTCGGCGATCGGAGGACCCCATTGGGCAAGAGTGACCTTTGGTGCGCGGCTTTGGGGAGGCGCGAGGGGCCCAAACAGAAGCGCGCAAGACGCTACTATGGCGTCGCGTTCGGCGATTGGGGGACCCGGGTGGGCCCGCCCCAAAGGTCACTCCTGCGAAGGGCCACTCTTACGTGTAGCCGAGGCTCACACCAAAAGTCACTCTGGCGAGGAGCTGCCGAGAGACCCCCCCCCGGCCAGTCTTCTCGTCGACGTCGAGGCTTTTGCTGGGGGCGGCCGCCACGGCCTGCCTTCGACGCTCCAGCCCAGACCCCCTCGAGTCGTGACGGGATCGCGACGGGAGGGCTTGCGCGACCTTCGGCCTTTGGGGGCCCTGACACGTCGGTCGGATGAAATATGGACAAAAAGCGTGAAGGAAGAGGGCGGATAAAGTAGATTGGGCTCATGCCCTCCCAGAGAATCACAAAACGCAGTAAGAGCAGATCGCCTCTTGAAGTAGGAAGGCGCTTAAAAGAGATTGGGATCTGGGAATCCAGACATACCTGCTTTCAACGGGACCGTCAATCAACGACGGCAAGATGAAGAACTGGTCCTGGGGAATGAGGGGGCTAGGGGGAGGGGGAAGGAGTCTTAGAAGCAGGGATGCTTCTGAGGAGCCTTCCCAAATCACCCCACCCCCCTCTGCGCGTGGCCGAACTGGGCCTCGGGACCGTCGAACAAAGAAGTCATGATGCTAAGGGTCTGGGAGGGCCGATGGGGGGAGATCTCCAAACGCCTGAGATCCGGGCGTTGCATTTTCTTTACTGCGGGTGGTCTCGCCCAGCTTCGGCCCCTGGGACCATCACAGATCGATCTGGCTCGAAACACGACGCGGGCGCCATGGGGTCCAGGGCTCCGGTCGTTTCGCTCGCGATGCTGCAACTTTTTTGCGCAACGTCGGTTCTCAAGCCTGCTTTTGGCCCCCGTCGGTCCTCTGGAGGCTCCCCGAAGCCCTGGGAGGCCTCCTCGGACCCCGGGGGGTCAGGATCCTGGGCGGCAGCAAAGCCCAGAGGTCCGACGTGGAAGACTTCTTCGGTACGGGGCTCCCAGAAGTCCCGGCCCTGTGCCCAGGGCCGGCTTTTCGTCCTGAGTCGCTTTTGACTGTCTCGGGGCCCGGCAGTGGCCCCCAGAGGCCAAAAGCTACGACAACCCTGTAATGATTATCTCAATGAGTGGGGGATCTGAGACTTATGTCCCAGGATTAGCTGGTCGACGACGTCGCCGAGGACGACGCTCCATGGCGGCGGCGAGGACGACGAGGACGGCGCTCGGTGGCGACGATTGGGGCCAGCGACGATGTGCTCCTCTCACAGATATGCGTGCGCAGTGAAACAAAATCGCGACAGACTGGTGATTCTAGTCATGTCCTGCTGTAAACATGCTCTTTCTAAGGAGCCGAACTCTATACACCGACGCTTTCTGCCAGCCTCGCACTGAAATTCGCAGAAGAAAGCGGATCCTAGTGTGTACGGGATCCTGGTGTATACATTTTTCGTTCCTTCCCCGGGAAATTGGGGACAAAGTATACACCACACAAGCCCGACGTCGTCCCCGACCCTCAAATCGTCCTGGGATTGAAAAACAGCCCGCTACTGGGTAATGTAATGTAAATGCTCCAGTTCCCGACTTTCTGTTGTGTTCAACATCTGGGGGTTGGTGCTTGGTGCTTTCAGCAGCCTCTGATGCCCCTTGCGAGGCCCTTGCGGGACCTCTCCGTGTCGCTGCTGGGCTGACTCGGCCGTCCTTGGACTGTGAAGTGGGCTCTCCTAGCCTCCGCTCTTGGAGCGGAAACTCTCCTAGCCTCCGCTCCTGGAGCACAGCTCTCCACGAGGGAGACGCACGCCGAAGAGCCAGACGACTGCATTGATGGAGCGCTCTATGCTCGGCGGCGAGCCCGCGGGGGAAGTGAGAAGTGGCGGGCCTTCTCAGAAGGCTGAGAAGTCCCCCGGCCTTCTGAGAAGTTCCTGAGCCTTCCCCGAAGACACAGGAAACTTCTCACAAGGCCGGAGGGCTTCTGAGAAGTCCCGCCGCCGTCTTAGAAGGCCTTCTCTTCTCACTTCCCCCCCTCGCTCGCCGCCGAGAAACAAAAACGCGACGGCCACTTTTTGCTGCCGTGCTCGGCCTCCGCGGGCCTTCGCCGCGCTCCCTGGGACCACCAACAAACGACCGGAAACGAAAAACTGGCCCTGGGGAGAGGGTCGGGACTTCCGGGGACCCCGAAGAAAAGCAACACATGGGGCGTTCTAGAAAGGGCCTTGCTTCGAGGATCGAAGGAGTCGCGGCGAAGAGGCGGTGGAAGGCCAGCGGAAGGCGGCGGAGGTAAAACGAGGCCACCTCCGCCGGCGGAAGCCGCCGAAAGCAAAAGTCGGCCTTCCAAGAGATGACAATCTGTTTGGGTGCAGGGTTTTCTGAATCCGACACACGAAGACATCGCACGACTGGGCCCGCTGCCATTGTGAGGCCTCCCCGGTCCCCCGAGGGCCTCCGAAGCCTGGCTAGAACAACCGGTCTGGCGAAAGGCCCCTGGCACCATGCAGCTGCGGGAAGTTCCAGGTGTGAGCCTCGCCTCATACAGTCGGGCTGCTGAAATAAGGCACGCGAAACAAGGGTCGAAGCCCGTGTTCGGCCCCAAAAACGCCTGCGTGAACGAGGAGAGCTAGAGGAGCAGCCATGGAAGGACGTGAACAACGAGCCCCTTCCGAACCCAAACCGGCCCTCATCTTCAGCGTCCTGACTGTAGGCAGCGCGCCGCCAGCGGGACATGGAGCTCGGGGCTCGTGCGGATGGGGGCCGCGGGGCCAGGCGCGCAGAGCTGAGCGGAGCGCAGGGTGCGGATGGATGGCAAGCTGAGCTCCCTGCTACGCGATCCACGGTTGCGCCAGCCATCGCGCGGGTGGAGCTCTCTGAGAAGCTGTGGGCGGAGCTTTCTGAGGGTCGTGACTCGTGTGAGAGGTGTGCCAAAATGGGCGGCGGCGTCATGCGGACGCACCCACTCGGGCGCGGGTGGGGATTCCAAGATGGGCGCGAAACATTTGATGACTGCCGAAATGAGCGGGGAACCGTTTGTCGACGCACCCACTGGGGCCGTGGGTGGAGCTCCCAGTGGGGGCACGATCAGTGTCAGGGGTATGAAGGAATTGGCGGAGGGACCGCAAGGGGACCCTTCCGCTGGGGCCACAGGTGGATGTCCCAGTGGGGGCAGGATCAGTGTGAGGGGTGTGCCGAAATTTACGTGCGGACGGAAAGCAGAGGCAGGGAGATGGGAGAGAGGGAGAGGAGGACGAGTGGAGCGCGGCGCTGCGGATTCAAAACGAGGACCCAACTGCACAAAAGAGGGCTGGGTTCATTCCACCAGTCTGTTAGGGCGTGAGTGGTTTTGGGTGTTTCCTCTTCCGACCCCATTCTTCCCCTTCGGGGAAGGGTTTATCACTGCCCCTGAGAATAAACACCCCGTCCCCCAAGCAACCGACAGCCAACCTGTACCCATGCATCCCCCCCTGCCATCCCTTTCAAAACAACATGCAACATACACTTTGGGGCAATATCTTGGGGTCATGCTCGTGGGCCCAGCGAGCACTTTGTTTTGTTTTTGTTAAGGGGACGGCATAGACGGCGGGGGTGCCAGCAGATTGCCTGCCGCGTGCACGGCCAACATCCCTGTCGACAAACATGTACCAGACATCTGGATGGACACACCGTCGCGATTGCGCAGTGGTTTTCGACAAGGGTAATAAACGCCGACATGGTTCCCTATGTGTGCTGTCACGTGAGCGGGAGCACCTGGCACACTCTGCGCGTGCCCCGAACGTTAGGCACCTGGCGCGGCTGGAGCATGCGGCACACACGGCGCACGTGGAGCACGTGGCGCACCTGGCGCACCAGGCGTGCCTGGCACACTTGGGCCCCAAGGGTGCCTGGCGCACCTGGCACGCGTGGCGCGCCTGGCACGCGTGGCGCGCCTCGCCCCAGCGTCGCGCACATGGAGCCCGTGTTGGTTCACAGTAGCTGTCCATTCACAGGCGACTGCTGGACATGCTGAGGCTCGGGTGCTGCTTTTGTGTTGGGAGGGCTGCTGCAAGTGAGCGAGACGGCTTGCGGGCGGGGAGGGGAGTGTGAGGAGAGCGGTCGCGACCAATTGCAGCGCCCAAGAGAACCTCGGCGAGAGGGCACGCATCGTTCATTCTACATCGGTGTTGGGCCCACGGTGGCCTCCTAGAAGGGACCATGCTGGAGTACCCCCCCCCTCTTTGTCGTACTCCTCCGAGATGGCCTCAATGTGGCCCTAAGGCTCCCAAGCGTGCCCCGGGAGGGCCACACGAGACGCCGAGGAGAAGAGGTTCCCACAAGGCACCCAAGAGACGCCCGAGACTCTCAAGAGACATCCGAAGCGACTCCGAGAGGCAACCACGAGGTTTCTGGCCTTTCTGTCGCCCTCCTCTTCCTCCTCCTCCTCCTCCTCTTCCTCCTCCTCCTCTTCCTCCTCCTCCTCCTCTCCTCCTCCTCCTCCTCTCCTCCTCCTCCTCCTCCTCCTCCTCCTCCTCCTCCTCCTCATCCTCATCCTCATCATCATCCTCATCCTCATCATCACCATCATCATCATCATCATCATCACCATCACCATCACCATCACCATCACCATCATCATCATCATCATCATCATCATCACACACCACCACCACCACCACCACCACCACCACCATCATCATCATCATCATCATCATCATCATCATCATCATCATCATCATCATCATCATCATCATCATCATCATCATCATCATCATCATCATCATCATCCTCTTCCCCTTCCTCATCCGCCTATTCCTCTTCCTCCCTCCTCCCTCCCCCTTATCCTCCGATTTCTCCATCCTCCTCCTGTTGGGGTATGAGGTATGACGGCTTACCCAGCTCTTTGTGTTCCACTGCATGCTCCTCCACATCCCTGATCAGGGCAACTCGCCTGGGCATCGTTTCTGGATGGGCTCGTGGGGTTACGCGAAGCGTGTAGTCTACTTGGCTGTCCTCCTCCACCTCCTCCTACTCCTACTACTCGGGGCACGCCTTCTCCAAGCCCTCTTCCTGCGAGTCCTGCCTCCCTCCTCCCCTCATGGGGAATCCCTGCTTGACAAGCTGCCGTGGTCTCTTGCCCACTAGCTTGCGAACACCTCCACATCCCCCACCTTCCTTCTTCGTTTTTTGTTCACCCTGTTCCTCGTCAACTCTCCTCTTATTTGGGCCGCCCGAGTGGTAAATGAGGTCGGACGATTGCACCACATCGCCGATGCATCGGCAGCGTCGGGATGGAGAATATCCTGCTCTGGACCCCGCAGAATCGGCAATGCTGGGTGATGCGGTGTACGACCCCATGCGCTCAATACAAATTTGGGCGGCCTGGATCTCAATTCTCTCCCGGTCCCTCGGACGGGCTCAGGACTCCGACGTCGTGATGCTTGCAACGTCGTGGACTTTTAGCTGTCTGGGCTCCTTCCCTGGGATCGGTCTTTAATCCCGAAGTTAATGTTCTACTGGAGCTAGCTGCCCTCCCATGCGGGCGGGCAGATGTCCATAACCACCATTCCTCGGGATCCCAGGGCCCGACTCCGAGCAGGTGGATGTGGACAGTATGAGGGAGCGCGTTTCACGGGCGTTTGCCTTGAGAGCCTTCGGCGGCGCGTGTGAACCGGGGGGGCACCCCCCCCCCAACATTCGGCGCCGTCGAACAGAACCCAGGAGACTCCCCTTTCCCCCCGCCCGCCCCGCGCACCCCCCCCCCGCGCGAGAGGGGCGGTTCGAAACCTCTCTGCCACACTCCCCCTCCGGCGCCGGCGCTGGTGCCAGCGTCGTCGTCGTCGTCGTCGTCGTCATCTTCGTTGTCGTCGTCGCCGTCGCCATCGTCGTTGTCGTCGTCGCCGTCGTCGTCGTCGTCGTCGTCGTTGCCTTCGTCGCCGTCGTCGTCGCCGTCGTCGTCGTCGTCGTCGTCGTCGCCGTGGCCGTCGCCGTCGCCGTCGTCGTCGCCGTCGTCGCCGTCGACGTGCTCGTCGTCGTCGTCGCCGTCGTCGTCGCTGTCGTCGTCGCCGTGGCCGTCGTCGCCGTCGTCGTCGTCGCTGTCGTCGACGTCGCGGTCGTCGTCTTCGTCGTCGTCGACGTGCTCGGCGTCGCCGTCGTCGCCGTCGTCGTCGCCGTCGCCGTCGTCGACGCCGTCGTCGTCGTCCTCGTCGTCGTCGTGGTCGGCGTCGTCGTCGTCGTCGTGGTCGCCGTCGTCGTCGCCGTCGACGTCATTCTCGTCGTCGTCGTCGCCGACGCCGTCGACATCGCCTTCGTGGTTGTCGTCGTCGTCGTCTTCGTTGTAGGCGTTGTCGTCGTCGTCGCCATCGTCGCCGTCGTCGTCGCCGTCGCCGTCGTCGTCGCCGTCGTCGCCGTCGCCGTCGTCGTCGTCGTTGCCGTCGTCTCCGTCGTCGCCGTCGTCATCGTTCTCGAGGTCGCCGGCGTCGTCGTCGTCGTCGTCTTCGTTGTAGTTGTTGTCGTCGTCGTCGCCGTCGTCTTCGTCGTCGTCGTCGCCGTCGCCGTCGTCGTCGCCGTCGTCGCCGTCGTCGCAGTCATCACCGTCGTCGTCGCCGTCGTCATCGTCGTCGTCGTCGCCATCGGTGTCGTCGTCGTCGTCGTCGTCGGTTTTCGTTGTCGTCGTCGTCGTCGTCGTCGTCGCCGTCGTCCTCGTCGCCGCTCCCCGTCACCGCCGCCGGCCGCCGCCGGCGCAGGCGCTGGCCCCGGGGGGGGAGGCCGCTGTTCCGGACCCCCCCCCCCTTCCAAGCACCTACAGAACGCACTCTTTCGTACTTTCAAAGGCTCCCCAGTTGGGGCCGAGTAGATGGGGTCGGAGGGTTGCACCGAATCGCCGATGTATCGCCGATGCATCGGCGACGCATCGGCGATGCATCGACGACGTCGGCGATGCATCGACGACGCAGGCGTGGAGAAATCGGGCTCCAAATCGAGCCGCATCGCCGATGCATTTGTGATGCGGCGCGATCCTCTGACCCAACCTACTCGGACCCCAACTGGGAGGCCTGGAGACCTACTCTGGTGGAGTGGTAGGGAACCTCTATAGGAGAAAAAACTGCATGAACATACACTTGTGGAGGCCCGCGCGGCTTTCTTGGATTCGCGCTGGACACCCCCCCCCGTCCTGGCGCGCTCCGCGCGCCAGGGGCGGCGCCCGAGGCACCGCCAGGGGGTCCCAGCGCCGATCCAAGAAATCCGCGCGGGCCGTCGACAAGTCTTGTTTATGCACATCGTTTTTCTTCTAGTGGGGGGGGGCCTCTCCTTTTGACAAGTGCGTTCCACTACTCGCACAGTAATGCTCGCAAATGGCCTGGACCCGCCGCGGGGGATCCAAAATCCACTACGTCGAGACACACATAGTGTTTCGAACGTTTGCGAGTAGGCACTTTGCGAATGGTGGAAAGCGTTTAGCAATCCTTGACAAACTGCCGCAACTTCTTGCCCACTATCTTCTCGAAGCCCCCGCCGAAGTAATGGGAGTGCAGCGTGCAGAGCCTGCGCGGCCCGGGCGCGCCGCGGGCCTTCGCTGTGGACCTGGCCCCGTGTCTGCTCGCTCTCGGCGTGCAACTCTCGCATGTGCGCAGCGCTCGCTCACAGGGTAGACTTTCCAATGACTCCCACCCCCTCCCGTCATGAACAGATCACGACGGGCAATTGTTGGCAGCTTTCCACCGTCGAGAGACTGATCAGGATGAAAAACCGGTCCCTGGTAAGGGGTCCATACCTCTGGGGTCCACGTGGTGATCGAATCACGGTGCCAGAGTTCTGGGAAGTGCACGCATGACAACACATGTCGTGTATTCGTCCTGCAAGGTTCCCGACAGCTACGCGGGTGAAGGACCAGTTCTTCTAAGATCGTGTTTCTCGCAATGCCACCCTGCACGCATGAGCGCTGGAGTCTTGACAATTACGCCACAAACACATAGACGGAACACACGTGATCTTCAACATTTAGATCTCGCCTTCACGCCACGAGTATACATCTAACACATCGCCGCAAATACATGTTGTTCTAAACCATATTGGATCTCACTATGTGTCGGTTTCTATATTGAGAGTCCTAAGGTGCCACGTAGCTTCTGTGTCCCTGGTGGCATTGAGGGATAAAAGACTTCCGTGAGGAACATGCTGACAGGCAACTTACTTGATGTGCTTCCTGTGGGAACTACATTCCTTAATGAACACAGGTGGAACACATGTTGTGCATGCATCCTGGAAGTTCCCCAGCAGCTGCATGGGTGGAGAGCGGTTTAATGAAAAAATCGTGTTCATCGCAGTGTCACCACGAAGTGGAGTCTTAGCAGCTTCTAAACAAGCGCATGAATGGAATCCCCCTTCTAATTCCCCCCCTAGGACCCCACACCCCGGACCGAACGCGTCACGGGGGAGCGGAGGGCTCCAAAACTAGCCCAAAAGGCACCCAAACGCTACCCAGACGGTCCCGGGGGGCCACGATTCGCCGACATATCGCCCTTGGACGCCCACGATGGCCTCCAGGCGGCCTCCGAAGCTGCCAAGGCGCCCGAAAAGGCCCCCAAGATGCGCCCCAAGAGGGTCCCAAGAAACAGAAATCGGCCCACTCTCTGCGAAAGACAAGCATCTTTCGCATGCTCGCCTATTCGGTTTTCACAACGTCTACAACGGGCAAAGAAACCTTCAATATCGCCCCCAGACGGCCAAAGGGGCCCCCAAGAAGGGTCGAAGAGGGTCCAACAACAGCCCACGAAACCCCCAAGACAGCCCAAGAGGGCCCCCAGACGGCTCTAAGACGAAGTCCAGAGTGCACCTTTTCGAGCGTTCGGCCCCAAGACGCCCCCAGCCTGCCCCAAGAACCCCCCAAGAGGCCCTGAGGGACCCCTAAGAGCACCCCAAATGCCTCCAAGAAGCCCCCAGGAAGCCCCCAAGAGGCCCCAAAACTTGGCCCAAGATGCCTTGATGCGGCCGGATATGGCCTGCAGACAAGCCAAGATGCCACCAAAAGGCCACAAAAGAGCACCAAGAGGTACGGTAACAGCAACGAAGCAACAGGAACGATGTCGAGCGCCGTTCCATGATTCGGACGAACCTCGTGAAATGCAGTCCTGGAGGCGCAATAGTTCATATAGGGGTCAGCGGATGTGGCATAAGCCTATATAATCTTAGCTACTTCTAAGCAAGCGCACGGATGGAATCCATACATTCTCGAAGCTATGCATCTCGCCTTGACGCTGCGCGCATCCATCTTAAACAATCGCAGCATTCAACTACACGGATGGATGACGGCTCCTGTTCAAAATGTTGCTCTCGCCTCAACGTCGCAAGAATTCGTCTTGGAAGATTCCAGCACTACGAACGGACGAAGGGCCGCATCAAATCGATCTCTCGCCCGATTCGGCCTTTGCAACGGCTACGCTGATGGATATAGATCTCGTTTCAGAATCTGGCTCTTGGGTGCATATACGACTTCTTGGAAGCCCAATGCTTGCACAAATGAAGGGTGATTCTCTTTCAAATCAAGCTGCCGTTTCTGCGACGCCCTCTGTCCTGAACGAAACTACCAGCGACGGTCAGGAACTGCTGCTTAGCGTGTCGCGGCGGCGGCACTGGCAACACGTGATGCCCGGCGAGCTGATGGCGTGTAGCTCCGCTCCGCGGTGCAGTGGCGCTCGGAACGGATCGGGACGTTGACGCCTGGGGACTGGGGAAGTGTAAGCGTCGCGCCGAAGCGTGATGGGCCAGAACAGGCGGCGCGATATGCTAAGCAGAAATTCCTGACTGTAACTACATGGATCGAGGGGAATGCCGCTACTGCCCAGACTGACTGTGCGTTCTGACCGTAGGGACTGACATGGATGGATGACGATCCTCCTCAAACTGATGGTGTGTGTGTGTGTGTGTTCCAACTCTCCTGTGTCAGATCCTTGTTCCAAACGCTCCAGTGGGGGGGGTCCCCTTCTGAGTCGACCGATGCAGCTCATTCCTTCTCTCCGACCCCAACGGCAGTGCCTTGAGGCGCTACCCGCGGGGTCTTTCTGGCTACGAGGGCCCGTAGGACCTACAAGTCGGAGGCGTCCGCAGAAGGGAGGAGCGCCGCGTATACGCGGGAACCAGCCCAATGGGTCACAGCCCATGGGTCTTGGACCACCTGCTTCATTCCTCTCCGCACCTCCCGCTCTCGCCCTCCCTGGGTGCTGGCAGGCGTGCAACCCTCACCTCTCCGCCATGTGCCCCTAAGGGTTCCAGCGGAGTGATGCGCCGCGCAGATCCACATGAGACGTCGCCCTTCATGGGTGCTGCCAGGCGTGCGGCTATCGCCACCTTCCTGTGCCCCTGAGGGGCCCAGCGGAGCGATGAGCCACGCAAATTCATCTGAGACGTCGCCTCTCATAGGTGCTGCCCGGCGTCCAGCTTGCGCCACCTTCCTGTGCCCCTGAGAGACCCCCAGAGTGGTGAGCTACCAAAGATCCACCCGAGACATCGCCCTAAACGGATGCTGCCGAGCGTGCCCATGTCGCTGCTGTGTGGCCGGTTCCGGAAACACCGAACCCCAAAACATGTGGCATCTCTGGGGGACGACTTGTTTACTTCCGCCCGCCTCCGCTGGCGGAGGCGCCTTCGTTGTGCTTCCGCCAGCTTCCTCCGCCCATTGCGCGGCGCCTTCCGCAGGGGAAGAGGTGCCAATGCCATCGATCCTCGAACGCGAACCCCTGTCTGGAGCGCAGCGTATCGCACCCGCAGGGGGTCCAGCAGATTGGCGAGCCACGCAGGTCTGCATGAGGCCAAGCCCTCCCTGGGTGCTGCCTATGTTCGGGGGGGGGTCAACGGGTTGGTGAGCCACGTCGGTCAACATGGAACCTCGCCTTCCCTGAGTCCTGCCAAGCGTGCAATTGTCATGTTTCTCGGGGGTCGAGCGGCGTGATGAAGGAGCAAGATGAGAGAAGAGGGGGGGGGCAAGGAATGGGGGAGGAGGGACGAGGAATAAGAAAAGACAGTCAAGGGCGGAGGAGGGGAAAGAGGAGGAGGGAAGAGGAGCCAGAACAGAATGTGCTAGAGCTGGAGGAGCAAGAGCAAGAGGAGCACGTGAATAATGACACTGATGTGATGCGGAGGGAGGAGGGACATAGTAAATACAGCGCGGGCCACAGATGCTGCAATACACACTCCCCGGTCCAGGCCCCCTCCTTGTAACCTACAAGAAGGTACTCCTCGTGTCTCAACGCGCGCTGGAAATGTGAGGGCCTCGTCAGGCTGTCACCGTCTCTTGGCCTTGGCGGTGCTGGACACATGATGCACCGCGGGCACCGCCAGATGTAGGGCTGGGGAAGGCTGGAAGATTGAGAACCCGACGGCCCTGCCACAAAAGAGCGGTAGGACTGTCACTACGAACCAAGCGGTCACATTAAGACTTGATTGCGTATCGTGCCATATCTCGATGAGATGCGAGGGAAGTGCCTCCCACCCATGCGGTCAGATCGATCGATCGTGAACCTGTTGGGACCACTGGGGGAATTTCTTCCCTGGCAACAAACCGCGCCCTTCCATGTCATAACGATGCTACGTAACGCCGTGTCATTCGCATGCAATGCAGGAACACACCAACCTATCACTTGGCCTTGTCGTGCCATGACGCGCCCAAAGCCTAGACTGGCTTAGCTCAAGTGTGGCATAACACAACATACAACGACATGCCATGGCATGTCATGCGACACCGCGAACCACTATCAGAAGAGCAGGGCGCCTCATACCACATGTCTGCCGCATGCATTACATAACCTATCACATCATACTCATATGCATGATCGTCAGCCATGCTATCAGATCAACACGTCATAACATACCATACTGTTGCCAACGGTGGTATATCACGTGGTCCTCGTAGGACACACGTGCGCACATACATATTTAAACATGGTTGAGTTGAGTGCATTGTCAACTACTTTGCAACATGAACAGGTACCTCTGCTCACACATTGCGGTCATGACAATATATCCGCACAACATGACGCAACGCATCAATTTGCATGATCAACAACACTCGCATCAACATGGCATCGCAGGATCATTCCGGAGCGGGGCATTTGCGAAGCTTGGCAGATCAACCTCCCTCGGCCTCCGCCTTTTCACTCGCTGCCGCGTCGCGCGCTTTAGGCGGTAGGACCCAAGCCTGTTCTACCCTAGAAGCTACATTCACGAGTGGCCGACTGCACGCTGCACAATTCTGAACGAACCCGTACCGCAGCCTCGGCGAACAGCGCGGCGTATCTACAAGCGCTTGCCTCCAAGAGGATAGGTGCTTGAACATGCTGCTGCTGCTGCTGCTTCCCACACAAGTGTAGGACTGCAATGGAGTGGGCCCATGCTCCAGTGAGAATGCCAAGCGGTGCAATGGCAGAGCGACATTAGCAAAGGCGAGACAACATGTGCCGAAACATGGCTCGAATACGGGGTCATGCGGACCTACGCCGAACAACTCAAGTTTGCGCGGCAGGGAAATTAGAGGAACGGATTAACAGCAA